GGGGGGGGGGGGCAGCATACTTTCATACAGATGAAAATTGAAACTACCCTAAATCAATTAGAAAAGTAACAAAAAAAAAAAATACATATAGAAAAACTTTTGATGAGTACAGGCTTTAATTATCATGAATTTCAAAATAACTAATAATTATTCTCTTTACCAGCAATTAGAAAACGCGTATGCCAGGGACAGCATTGATAGTTTGGCAGCAGCCACATACTCTGAAATCCTCTGAAGTCTAGACTTTTTAAATGCTGTGTCAGGAAATGGGTACCAAACACACTGCTCTGTTGTTTTTTAGTGATGCTCAATGGCTTTCAAGAGGCAAGGTATTAAAGAGAATGTTTAAGCTCAGGCATGAGGTGTTCTCTTTTTTAAATGGTGAAAATCACTCACTGGTAGACAGTTTCAGCAACAAGGATTTTTTATTTAAAATGGCTTACCTCACATATATATTTGAGAAACTAAATATCCACAACACTTCACTTCAAGGGAATGAGGCAACTGTACTTTCTTGGAATGACAAAGTGAAGGCATTCATGAGAAAATTAGAGCTCTAGAGAAACAATATGGAAAGTCACATGCTAGACATGTTCCCCACCCTAGTGTCAATGGTACAAGACACTGATAATCCAGTGCTTCCAATGGACATAAAAAGCTGCCTACTTGATCTTCTCATAATGTTGAAAGTTCATTTTGAAAAATACTTTTGCAATGACTTTGCTGAATTTAATTTGATTAAAAATCCATTCGAAAATGCTCCTGGGCCATCGTCTCTGAAGGTAAATGAGCAAGAACAACTCATCGATCTCACTAGTGATACTCTGTTAAAAAGTAAATTTAAGAAATTGTCTTTGTTGGAGTTCTGGATACATATTGGCAAGGAATTCCAAACTTTGGGCCAAAAGGCACTGAAGATACTGACTCCTTTCGCAACAACTTGCTTATGCAAGACAGGCTTTTCTGCTTTGGCAGGCATAAAGTCAAAGTATCGTTCAAGGCTAAATATTGCTAAAGAAGTTAAGAGTGGCCATTTCTGATATTACACCACGTTTTGATAAACTTTGTTCTCAAAAGCAGGCCCATCCATCACACTGAATTTGACATGCAAATGTTTGATTTTCTTTGCAGAAAAAAACGAAATACTTGTTAAATATCGTTTCATTTCAGTACATATTTTGGTTAATTGTTAAGTGTTAAAACTAATTTCTATTGTAGGCCTAATATTGTGATACTTTAATTTTGAGTAAAAAAAAACTGCTAAATAGTATGTAGAAAAACACAAAATAAACTGAATAAAACGTCAGACATACCACGACTTCTATTTTGATAGAAACAGAACAAGCTGGGGGCCTGAAAGTATTTTCTCTTGTCAGGGGGGGGGGTCAGGGGTAAAAAGTTTTGAGAACCACTGGTCTATAACATTACATTATCCCTGCCACATCAATTCTGAATTCAACCTCTATACTACATATAATTCGTCTTTCGAAATTCAGCCTTTTGATATTCATGGTTAACCTACTACCTATGCATCAGTCCTCGTTTCAGTCAAAATCACTCTCAGCACAATATTTTTAACAGTGCTTAGGATATACGTTTATTACCTAACGCTACATTAATTTTAGTTGACTGTGTTCTTGCAGCACACTTTAGAGTTAGTATTCCCATCGAACTCCAGGCAGCCATGTCTATAATTCCTTTATAACCTTATAAACCTAAAACAAAATCCATGAAACGCTTCGTTCTCTTTGACTCCATGAGCATGGCAAAAGTATTTGTCCTCACTTGGCTGTAGTATGAGGGAAATAAATGAACATGAACGTGAAATTGAGTATGATCCGTGGTAATATCAAACCCAGTGCAACATACTTTGTCTAGCCGATTTCCACTAATTATTGTAATAATAAATAAATATTACGGAACCAGGACAAAGATTACTATTGTATCAACTGCAGCTAAGCGTTCAAATTTCTTTAATCAGATAATACGATATAAAATTTCCCCTTGTGAAGGACATGGATGTGATTACCGATAATATATTATATATTCGGTATACTGACGATTTTGGCTGTAAGTTCCACTTCTATAATTATTCATATTAAAATGCGATAATTGTTCATGGGTCTATTTCTTTAAAGGAACAGTAATAACTATTCTTAGGAATCCCAAAAGTCTAGCACATGCTGCAGGATTGACATGATGTATAATTTTATTTATTCTTTAAAGGAAAACCGTACGAATATTTTCATAACACTTTATCCTATGAATGGTGTTAAATTTTTCCGAATTTGACTAGCTTCAACTTCGTTACACTACTTTTCTGTTGTACGAATACATTAACTTTCGGGAACGTACAGGAGCATCTGCTAGAAGGGCTATACTCTGGTACCGGTTGCTAAAACTAACGATACGGTCTACGGTTATAAATTTTCCCTACGTCTGACTACCCTGTGGGAAAGTTGGCATCAGAAGTCAGTGGTTGTGTTTGTCACCGTCAGTGTTACAGTGCAAAGAAGTGAAAGGACAGGTTATGCCAAGTATAAACGTAGAGGAAACAAGAAACAAAAGAATGTAGAAGTTGCGAATAGTTAAACATGTCCGCGTAGATCTTGAAGTTTGTTTTGCCCACTTTACTTTTATTGTATGAATTTACTAGCATATTGTGAAAGGTGAGACAATGATATGCTTTAGTGCGAAGTAAAAGACTGAATCAGTTTTATCATTACAAGCTGCCCGTCAATTCTATGACAAGGTGCACATTACGTAAAGTCATGATTGACTTAGTGTCAGAGGTCGTGTTATTTTCCTTATATTAATCAGATAATATTTTGTCACAATTTTGTGGCAGAGAAGAAGTATATGGATTTTGTAATAAATGTATTTGTGCGAATGATACGGAATTCACGGACTATCAACTTTGCTCAAATACAATAACAATGGATATTGCTAATTATCATTACAGGTTACAATGGCATTGCGGGACTTGGTAGAAGGTGATTGTGGCGGTACAAATTCATTAGTTAGGCTCACATCACATTTTGTTCAAGACAAAGGTTTGAAGGAAGAAGGGCTTCGTCATCCTTTTCCGCATAGTGATGGCTTTTCAAACACCGACTCAGATCAGGTGATAAAGTAATTGATTATAATTATTCAAAGTGCAGTAATTAAGAGATGTACAGTAAGTCCCCAGTTATGTGGCATCAAAGCGTCCAGAACTTTCATCAACTGGCAAAACTTCACGAAGTTAATAGAAAATCAATTTGTGATGTACTTGTGGTCAAGTGCCACATTGTAGTTCTCCCACCCATCATCCTCCTTCACACAGGTGACATTACAGCAGAGGTTAATTGAATTGGTAGTCATATTGTAATGCATATATCCAAAACTTTTCATTTGTCAATCCCCCATGTTGCTAAGGAAGACTCACCAAAGAATTAAAGTGAAAACATGTTGTACTGACTGTGTATTTGGGTTTCTGTAAAAGTTTTTCTAATGCAACGACCATTTTCATGTAAGTGGAAACCCCCATACCTCATACATACTGGATAACAGGAGCTTACTCTGATAGGCTTTTATAGTTTTTAACTGAGTTGCTAAAAAGCTGTTAGTTTATGCTCAATAAGAGTCATGCATTTGAATAGTAGAGACAGACTAGGAATATAAAAGTAATATGGCATTGTTGTAGTTTTATGAAGCAGTTACTTTAAGCAATTGAATACACTTTTTCTCACACCTTAAAGTTTTTTTTTTTTTTTCACTGATATTTGCTTTAAATTTGCTCTTACATATCAAGGGGGCACGCAGTAGCATAGTTGGTTGAGGCACTATGCTACAAGCTGGAAGGTCATGGGATCGAATCCTGATGAGGTCATTGAATTTTTTCAATTTATCTAATTCCTCCAGCGACACTATGGCTTAGGGCTCAACTCAGGAATATTCTTGGAATATTCTTGGGGGTAAAGGGTGGCCGGCGCGTAGGCTGACTTCCTTACCACCATCTATGAGCTGATTGTCTAGAAAATGTGGGAACCTCAACATCTCACAACCCTATGGGCCTCCAAGACCTGTTGCAGGGAAACCTTTACTTTACATACTTACTTTACTTGCATATTAATTCTTAGAAATTTTGAAATGCCTAACACTACAAAAGTCAAAAGCCAAAATGCACACTTTACATGACAGTAACTGAATAACAGACTAGTCTTTATTCTACATAATCTCCTAAACAGTTTGTTTCTCAGTAAATTGTGTCCTCTTTTTATAAATGATTTTAAGTAATTAACTAATTTAAGTTCATATTACAGAATCTTGTGAAGTAGGCTGTATGATATTAAGTTCAAAATAAGTTTCCAGTTGTTTTTAACCTGAAAGTCCATCAACATCATAACAAAATCTTGCCAATGTACATTTGTGTGGACAGACAGTCCAGATTACATCTTCAGAAGGAGGTTCTCTGACATACATTTCAATGCTTTTCCCTTGTCTATGTCTACATCTCCAAAGTAGTCATTTCCCATAAATTTTTGCAATGAAATGTTCCATGCCTTTCTTGTATCACTCGTACATGTTTATATCTGACCACCTCACACCCTCCTTGATTTAATCATTCTAGTGAAACTAGTTCAAGCATACAGCTCACTAAGCTCCATCTATAATTTTCTTCATTCCTCTAACAGGTCTTAGGTTTCTTTCTTAAATCAAAATATCCTCATTTGTTTTTAAGTATCCAGCCTCTTTGCTTTCCAAAAAATTGATGGAGCCATTTAAGTTTGTCACATATTTGAAACAGAAATAGAAATGTGTACTCTGTATGCATTCTTCACAATTTTGCATACCTCAGGGGCTTTGATGTCCAATTATTGCAGATACAGAACTGTTGCAAAGTTAATAAAAATGAAGATATGGTACTGTCAGAAGCTTTTTTCTTTGTATATAATTACAGATATGTTATTACTTTTATATGCTTTCAAATAAGAGTTGTAGATCTTGAATAAGATGCATATTTTGTATTACATACTATTGTATTTGTGAGAAAATTAATATTTGATTTGAACTACATGTAATGTAGGCTTTGTATTATACCAGACATATGAAACTACAGATAGTACAAAATGGATGCTTGAGGATAGTATAAAACAATAATAAAATTGATCAAGTCAAGGAGGATAGAATGGCCAGGGCGTATAGCATGCATGGGGGAGAAGAGGAATGCATGCAGGGTTTTGGTGGGACAGGCAGAAGGAAAGACACCCCTATGAAGATATAGACATAGATGGAGGGATAATATTAAGATGGGTATTAGAGAAACAGTGGGTGCTATGGGCTGGATTCATCTGGCTAAGAATGGGACCAGTGGTAGACTCTTGTGAACACAGTAATGAACCTTCAAGTTTCATAACATGTTGGGAAATTCTTGGGTAGCTGGGCAACTAGTGGTTTACCAAAAAGTGCTCAGCTCTGTGGAGTTAGGTAGGTAGTAGATCTCAGATATTTCCATTGAGTCATATGGAGAAATTATATTTGAGATATGCGATTTCACCCTTATTGACTTTTAATAACACAAAATGGAGGAGTACCAGCATCACTATAAGTTATACTTGTCTGACAGGAACATTTTGTTATGCTTATTTAGAGCAAATAGCACTACCTTTTGATACACAATATCTGTGAAACTGAGTGTTTTTGAGATTGTGCTGTATGTACTGACATGACAAACTTCATCAAAGATATCTGCTTCTTTTTGCACTTTTTGGTTTATTCTGTTGCAGTGCTGAGGACAGACTAAGAATAGCTTTACAGTATCAGAAGTCTGTAACTTTAATGTTGAAATCTATTGTAGTTACTCTTAATTTTGGTGGAATATAGTTTGTTTTTACCCTCATTTTTATATCTTTTTATTTGTTACAGCTGGTCCAGCAGTTCTTGGAGGAGACTCTGGGTCCTTCTCCACAAACTTTCCGCATGGACTCACTACTTCAGGAAATGCGTGAGATTGAGTCAGCAGTCACTTTGCATGCACCTGTCCCTGCACCGGGTGTAGCAGCTCTGGCCCGTGATGGACTTGCACCCGAGGATTCTATATGGGCTGAACAATATCTTGAATCTGGAAAACATTTTGATGTAAGAATCTAGCAAATGTAAGAGTCATGTTCTAATTTGACTTGGCTGATAGTGTTAATTATAGCTTGGCTGGCTGATAGTAAGTCCAATATGAAGAACAAGAATCATATAGTTGCAATACCATTTGTGTCTACAGGAGAGAAGAAAGCACAGAGAGAGTGGCTGCGCTTCATCAGAAATATGCAATAGATCAAGGTCTGCAGCGAGAAGTGTCTCAAACATATACAGTACAAATTACTGTATAGAAATTAAAGTTCCTCCCTTGCCTAAGCAGTGTTCCGTGACTGCACATCTAGTGCACGGGAATAATGCTCATTGCATTCTAGATGTGACTTAATGGAGATGAATGATCTCCTGTACATTTTAGCCACTTTATTGCTAGAGACAGAGTATCCAGAACAGTCTGAACATGGTGCAATAAGGAAGAATCCCTGACTCTAGCTAGGTTAATCAGGCCGTAACCAGTCACTTTACTGATTTTGCTGTCAGGCTTCAGCAAAAAGTATTTATGTTACAAAATACATGATATAGTTTGTTGAAAGGGCCACATGGTAGCATAGTTGGTTGAGGCACTATGCTACAAGCCAGAAGGTCACGGGATTGAATCCCAATGAGGTGGACTTTTCAATTGACCTAATCCTTCCAGCTGCACTCAGCCCTGGCGTCGACTCAGCCTCTAACAGAAATGAGTACCAGGAATATTCTTGGAGGTAAAGGACAGCCGGCGCATAAGGCTAACAATCCTACTGCCATCTATGAGCCGATTGTTTAGAAAATGTGGGAACCTCAAAATCTCACAACTCTCTGGGCCTCCACAGCCTGTTACAGGGATACCTTTACCGTTTTTACTTACTTATAGTTTGGTGAATCCAGGATGGGTCAGAGGGTACAAAAAAAGGAACTTTCCTTTGAAACAAGCCATAGGTCAGTATGTGGCAAGGAGTGTATGAAATACTACCAGTAAAAGTAAGTAAAGTAAAGCTATCCCTGTACCAGGCCGTTGTGAAGGTCCATAGGGTTGTGAGACGTTGAGGGTCCCACATTATCTAGACAGTCGGCTCAAAGATGGTGGTAAGGTTGTCAGCCTTACGCGCTGGCTGCGCTTTACTTCCCAGGAAAGTTATTTAATTAATCCCTGGTACTCATTTCTGTTAGAGGCTGAGTTGACCCCAGGGCCATAGTGCAGTTGGAAGGATTAGGTCAATTGAAAAAAAAATCCAATGACCTCATCAGGACTTGAATTTGTGACCTTCTGGCTTGTAGCATAGCCCCTCAACGAACTACGCTACCGCGTGAAATAATACCAGTGCAATATTGAAATATTGTCATTCCCTGAATGACATGAAGACCCTAATTGTTGGCTACCTTTGTTATAATGGGGCCATGCCATACCATACCATATAACCAAAAGGTAAAGAATGGGTGGAGCTCAAGTCACCATTTTGATAAAAAAATTTGCATATGTGAGGTTTGAGAGTCTCACACCAGTGACCGAAGAATACTGCCATCTGAGTTGTGATGCCATGTAGTCTGGTAGAAGTGAACTAAAGTTTCAGGGGAACAGGTGCCATTATTAAGGTTGGCCCTGAACATGGAAGAACTATATTCGCGCACAGTGTTAGTAAACTTCTGCCAAAGTGTATGGTATCACAGCTCAGAGATAGTATTCTACATGGGTTGCCTTACATTTAAATTAATATTTCTAGATAACAAGAGATGACATATTATAGAAATTTCCTTATTTTTTGAACAGGTGAAGTATGTATAGCATTACGAAGTAAAATGGCAAAAATAATAGCATTTGCAAGTTGTAAGTTGTAAGCATTGTATTTTTGGAACTATTTGTCATAACAATTTTGGCTGTAGTGTGGAGAATTGCTGTAGTATGTCTTGTTAACATCCAAAATTTTTAATAATTAGAGTTTGTGGGTTATAGTTTATGTTGCATGAAGTTGTAAGAAAATAGTTTGTGGAAGAGCCAAAAATTGCTGAACCTTAATGCCTTCATTACATAATTGTGGGGAGAAGCAGTGTTGGCACTTTTAATGCAGCATAACCTGTAGAAGGGCTTCAGAGGATATTTACTGTAGTCCTGTATTTGATTCTTTACCTGAGAAAAAGAGACTGAAATCAAGTTCATTTGAATTTCCTTGTGTCTTCCAGATGTACATGCTTCAATTCTTTTTATTAATATGTTGACCCTTATTAAGTAGTATATAAAGAATTGGTACTTACACCCTGACTCTTGGTAACTGAAAGAAACTTTATGCTTAGTATGAGAAATACTTGAAGGAACAGTCATGTTCAAAAAATGCAGAAGCAGCTGATGATCCAACGTATGAAGCTCAGTCACTTTGTAATTTCCATAATGATCCTGGCAGCAGTTTTCGTGCTGTGGTGTTGTTATGGACATTTTGTTTTTGATTGTTGTACTGACTGCCTCCTCATACCACACATGAGGAGACATCAGCACAGCAACCAAACACAAAATATGTGTGTGTGCATGCGCACATGCGTGTTCAGACCAGGTGCATGAAGGGACAAGTTTGTTTGGAAACTATGGAAGGAATTTTGTACTGTTATCTAGCTGTCTGATAATAGAACCTGAAGGTTCAGCAGTGCTACTACCAAAGCCCATTATTTGACATGATTTTAACCAATTCAGTCTACCTTCCAGTTTCACAACCTATTTCTCTAAGATCAGTTTTATTGTTATCCTAGAAACATCATCTTGTCCCAATTGGCTTCTTTCCAAGAAGATTAACATGTGATAATTTAAAGTAAATGACTAAAGGTGTATAACTTCAAAGAATTCAACACAGATCATTAAATTGAGCCAGCATAGACTGGTGCTTGCTTATGAACTTACTGCAGTGAATTGTAGTAAAAACTCTTTTACTTTGTTTTGTGTATGGCAGTTTGGTATTTAAGCATGGTACTTGGCATTTGAGGTTCATTTTGAATTTTTTGCCCTCAGGAAGAGCCACATGGGGAAGAAATATGGAATGCATCAGCAATTGCAGGCATAAAAGAAGGTGTATCTGAAGTAGAAGAAGTGTTTGAATTAGGATTTGGTCCAAAATGGGCTCAGGAATATTTTGAGGCCAGTGAACACAAGCTGTAAGTTGATTCACTCATACAAAACATTGTCTGAACTAGAACAGAATTACAGGAATGGGTGTTGGTGATGCTTAACCGTTTCCAGTTATAAGGTTTTATGACCTCCCTAGCTAGGACTTCTGAGCCATTTTGTTACCGATTAACTGCATACATATTCATTCATTCATCACTCGCTTTACAGCCCCTTGTTAGTCCCTGGCCTCATCTTCAGTTTCATAATCTTTTTTACACAGACAGACCACTTGGATGAGTGATCAGCCCATTGCAAGGATGCTACCTACACACAGGATAACACAAACATGGCATTTTTTTTTATAAACGTCCTAACAATGCAACTAGTCCAGGACTAACGAGCATTTTTATTCTCACTTAAACTACTACTACTAGACCTAAACTCTGAGACTATGCCCACCAGTGTGTCGCAGCACTGCGAACACAATAAACATACACACAGACATCCATGCCTTGAGTGATATTCGAACCACCTGATCCCAGCTTTCGAGTGAGTGGAGACAGTTCATATACATATAACATCCATTATTTATACAGAAAGTTACAAAACAATCAGCAGATTCCGTCAGTTGCTTGGTAAAGGCACTAAAATTGTTGCTGTGGATTTGGTCAGCATCTGACCACAGAAACAAATGATATGTGTGGAACATGTATTAGTGTCCATCTGTGGAGGGAAAATGCAATAAATATAATGAGCAGGTGGTAGCATCTGCTCTACACACTGAAATGATGACTGTAGTAGTTGGTCTACATCCGACCCCCAGAATAGGGCAAAGTATGTGTCAGTAACATTGAAGCATGTAGACTTTTGCTAGGCAATGACTGCGAAAGAAGCAGCCATATGAAGTGTTATCGGAAAGTTCGTGGACTCTTATTGTTGTAACTACTTTGGTGAAAGAAGATAAGAGACAAGGCCAAGGCCACACTTCCGTAAGCCTATTGCATCATTCTGCCACGTGATACCGCACTGTGAACACTTATTGTTTTTACAAGAGTGCTTTTTCAGCTTCATGTGTTGTTTTGTCTGCGACGGATGGCAAAATTGAGCAGTGTGTCAGCATTAAGTTTTGTGTGAAGCTAGGTAAATCTGCTACTGGAACACTTGAAATGCTTCGAGAAATTTTTGGAGAACATTTTTGAAGTTGGACAGTGGTTTTTAAATTACATTCATGTTTCAAGGCTGCTTGAGTGTCAATTGAAGGTGATGAATGTTCAGGGTGACCAAGCACCAGCAAAACGACAAAAAAGGTTGAAAAAATTCGAGAACTCATCCACGAAAACTATCGCCAAACAATCCATGAGCTCACAGATACCATCAGTTATGGAGTTTGCCAGGACATCTCAACAGAAAATTTGAACGTGCACTGCATTGCTGTGAAGTCTGTTCCCTACTTTTGACAAATGATCTAAAGCAGCACCATTGTAAACGTGTGTCTTGAGCTATGAGAGAAGGCTAACAAGGACCCAACCTTTATCTCTAGGATCATAACAGATGATGGAAGTTGGATTTTTGGTTATGATCCAGAAAAAAGTAACAGTTGTCACAGTGGAAAAGCCCACAATCACAAAGAGCAAAAAAGCTGTGGCAGATCCATAGTCAACAAAGAGCATGCTTATAGGTTTTTTTCGACGTGAAGGGGATTGTTCACTGTGAATTTGTTCCTCCTAACACCACAGTCAGCCCTGACTTTTACTGTGACGTTTTGAGACACGTGAGAAAATGTGCAACACAAAAGACCAGAACTTTGGTGCGACCAAAGCTGGCTCTTTCGTCACAGCAATGCACCTGCCCACACATTCCTGAAAACCACATAGTTCATGACTAACAACAACATGGTTATCGTTCCCCATCCCATCCTCCTTACTCGCGGACTTAGTCCCTTGTGATTTTGCTTTGTTTCCCAATTTTGAAAGTGAAACTGAAGGGATGACTTTCGGAAACAGTGTCTGACATCCAAAGGGAATTGCAAGCAGTACGCAGCAGCATTAAGGAAAATGACTTCCATGGTGCTTTTGTAGTGTGGAAAAAACAATGGGATCACTATATGTTCCCAAGGAGACTGTTTTGAAGGATCTGGCAGCCAGTTGAAACAGTATTTCTTTTCTGACTTAGTCCAGGAATTTTCTGATAGAACCTCATACAACAGCCATTGATAGGTAATGGCTCAGTAAACAATGGCTGTTGCTAGGTAATGACCACAACAGACACATACAACAATGGCAGAGCTGTTGGGGTGGTGTTCTGTGTGCAGTCTGTGCCAAGGCTATATAACGAGGGCCAGCTGCCATTAGAAGAGAGTCTTGAGACAGCAGTGAGAACAGTAGGAGGTTTGTGTGAGTTGGCTACTAGCCTGGGAGTTAGTGGAGTGTTAGTGTACAATATGTTAAGTTTGGCTTTTGTTTTATTCTTTTATATACTGACAGCCATTAATAACTAGTACAGCTGAGTTTAATTCTAGCCCATCAGTCAAAAAGTCATTTCACGTAGTAATAAATTACTTATTTTATGGGTGTGGTCTGTCATAAAAAAGATAAGAAACATTTAATTTTTGTAGCATCATGCCTGTCTGAAACCTTATATGGTAGTGTTACGCCATGGTGATGGGGGGCGTGTAGGTAGCCCTCCTTGCCACCACATCTTATGCTGTAAGGAGTTAACACAATAATACTAGATTACCCTCAGCTAGGATTCTCCTGGTTCTGGACCTTCTTCGTTGCATACAGCTGCCACCATCTATTATATCTTAAGAGGGTTGATGAAGATACTAGGGGCCGGTAGCGCGGTAGTCCAGCGTTCTCTGTTGGCTGGCCCCTTCATCACTGTCACCACTTTGTATTGGCGTAGAGCGGGCGTGTCAGGTCTGATCCGCCTCTACCCATCAACTGTCACACCATATATTACACCTCTACAACAGGGGAGGATTTGATATCTCACCGCCGTCACCAATTATTATGTCTTAGCGACGGGGGTGGGTTAAACACACTAAACAGTTGGTCTGCCATTTCTCTTTGGCTAGTCCCTTTGCTACGTTTGTCAACCCTGCGTTGACTCATCCCACTGCCATACTATAGGCAATGCTTCGATGGCGGAGGTCAGTAAAACACAATTACTAATTCTCTCCGTCAGCCCTCTCGTTGGCCGATCCCCACCTCTGCTATCACTTTGTTATGCCTGAAGGGGGCTAATAAAATATCTAAATTACTCTTCCCTTGTTCCATCAGGAACGCATCCCCTTGTCTCCTATTAGTCTCTCACCCTTAACTCGGATTCTCGTAACCCTTACTGCTAGTTGCATCCGGCTGCTGTTGGCTGCCTGGATCAGTTCTGCCTTCGCTTGGGCCAGGATCGCTTTGGATCGGTCGTGGACGGGTTGGTTCGGGGAAGTAAATCACAATCCCGGTACATCCTATTCTAATCACACTGTCTATTTACACTATTATTTACAATAGAAGAATGCCGACGTCTGTCAGTTTACACAAGGTATCGGGGCGTGATAGTTCTGACTTCGTTCTAGTCTCTCGCCTAGAGCAGATGGCTTAAGACTATTACTCGACACGCGATCCCTGTCCTACCCTAGGCACACTGGTCTATTCTCACTTTAATTTGTACCTTATTTACAATATTAACAATACCGACTCTCAGTCGGATCTACATCGTGTCTTTATGTTACTACGCTATGACCTCATCATAGTCTCCCCTTCGGGGTGTAGGACTTGAGCCTCTCTCTCTCTCTCTTTTCCCTACTACTCATTACACAATTCTACACTACTCTAGCATAATACTTCACCCTTAAAATTCCCTACTCCTAAACTATAAATACTAGAAAAACCTAAGTATGTTTGCCTCAAAATCCATAGTCACAAATATGATCATACACACATAACGACAACCATGTTTACCACACTAACAACCTTGCCTGTTCTATTATTCTACCCTAAGGGCTTGCCGGGCACACTGGACATTGCTTTTTCAATATTTAACAAACAACAATTTACCAACAACCATAAAGTTTAACAGCATGGCTAGTATAAGTAAACATGACTTACTTGAGATAGAGACGCAGTGACGCCACCACTTGTAGTAGCCATGTCGGACAGAGCCTTCGGCTGACTACTGAATATTACGTTTTTAGATCAATTCCTGAGTGGGTTTTTTTCCCTCATTTTTATATTATTAAAATCGCTGACGCCACAACGAACAGAGAGGGAGGTTAACTCCTCCCTTCATCATCAATTTCTAAGGCGGTAATTTCTAATTGGCTAAATCCGACTCGTCGCGGGCAATCGTGGCGCCTCCCTCTTTGCATTTTATAATTTCGTGGTTTCCAGGTGTTTCCAAATGCCACTTACAAAGTAGTGCGATTGCACGTTTCTGCTGACTGCGGTGTCGGTTGACCGCGTTCCACAGCCTGTGTGTGGCCATCACTGCTCTAATTATGGTGAGACACTCTTGTAATGTTTAGGCAATAATTTTGATTTCCAGTCTCAAAATTTGCGGCATAACAGGTAGCATGGTATAAGATGTATAAACATGTTTTTATTGATTTTTTACTTGTACTTTGGTTTTATTAAATGCAGCATACCATATGGTTCAGTTTTTATTTGCAGGGATAGTAATTCAGAGTGGGAACCAGGCTGCACCAAAGAAATTGATGGTAATAATAGAGAATTGCGAGACACAGCCAATGAATTACTGAAGTCTGTTAATGACCCAAAGTTTACTTACTCAAAGGTGAGTTGAGGAAGGACTTGGTGGTTTTGTTTTTCAACTAGGCACAGCCCATGAAAATTTTGTGTGTTGTTTTGTGTTATTTGGAAATGTTCATATTTAAGACTACCCAGGTGATGCTCTCCAAAAAAACTGATTTCAAATTTCAGAATTATTTATTTTACCAAAACACATGTACTTAACTTTTTTAAATTATAAGTGGCATGATAACTGAAGTGAACTTTGTTGTAGTACTGTTTTCTTGAACACAGGGTTCTGTGTAATTTTTATTGTCCGAATACTTTGACACAAAATATGAGAACATCAGAATACGAAAACGTAAGAGCGGAAGGAATTTGCAGTGGGATTGTGTCGCACGTCATTTTGGATTCAGTCACCGAACAGATCCTATACATGTGCATTCATTCATTCATCAGTAATCTGTCAGACGACAGGTCCACAGTCTCTTCCAAAACAGTTCCTCCACTTAATGCGATCTTCTGTTTTTGGAAAGAGACTATCCAGGAAAAGTGATAATGTGGTAGTTTTTCCATTTGCTTTCCACATCGCAGTACAGCAGCCGTTCAAACCACTCTGGTCACGCCTGTTGCTATACGAACTTGAACCATCTCGAGCATCATTTGCTCTGTGCTTCAAGTCGCTGCTGATGACGCTGCTTCCGGCATCAGTTTACATGTGCATTATAGGAAGAGAATTCTGTTTCCTACTTCCATGACATGACAGTGTCCTACTGAGCATATTAGCCTAAGCAATTGCATTTCTATCATGTATTCAGGAAATGTTTGGTTTAGATCTTCGACACCAACTGTCCTGACTTGAGTTTTTTTTTTGTGTGTAATTTTCTTCAGTCCATCCAGGCAAATGTCAGTGTAGTACCTCACTTAGGTCATAACTGCTTATGTCCACATCCATTCCACTTCATTCATTAGTCATCCTGCATTCAATGCTCTATAATTTGAGACACTGAAAGCACCATTAAATAAACCACAAACATGCAACACCATAATCTGGAACTACCAAGGTTAGTGTTTGCCATACATCCAGCAGCAGAAAATATTGAAATATTGCTGTGTTATTTTGTTTGCAGTTAAGTTATCGGCAATCGGCAATGTTGCCAAAAAGCATTTTGACCAGTCTGCAACATATGAACCAACAGAGAGAGACATGGGACAAGACAGATATCGGTTTTTATGCGACAGCAGGGACTGCTGGAACCTGCTTACTGAATTTCAGGAGGGATAGGAGTTTTTTTGTTGTAGATGCTTTAGGTGCCTTTGACCATAGCTCAAGCAGTTAGTCGCTGGCTTCCCACAAAGGCAGCCCGGGTTTGATCCCGGATCTCATCAAGTGGGATTTGTGGTGGACAAAGTGGCACTTGGGCGGGTTTTCTCTGAGTACTTTGGTTTCCCCTGCCAATCTTCATTCCACCAAATTGTCCATCATCATCAGTCACCCAGGGCAGTCTACAGTAGGCCAATCAGTGGCCGCCATGCCAAGTGGACCCAGTTGGAATCCACCCCCCACTAAGCGAATTAATTAGGTGCCTTTACAAGAATAATACAGTAGAATAAAATTCTGGAAAACAAACTCTGAAATGGTATCTAGTCTACTTTTCATTGATATTGCATGGAAGATCCAGCCTTACATTATCAGTTGATTACATATTAAATGGGAAGTTCATATGAAGTTTGTTATTCATGTGGACAAAATGCTATTTTAACTTATTATTAGTAGATACTCTTATTGGGGTCAGTGGATAAAACTCAGGCAGTCACATTCCAGCTTCTCACTAGAAGCACTGGTTTGATTCTGTGTTGACAGATGGAGTTTCACTGGGCAGGTTTCCCTGCTGAGTAGTTTGATATGTCACTGATGTTGCTCTAGAAAAGCTGTGGAAGCACATTTGAATAGTAATTTTCATTTTACAACATTGATCCAAATTGACAGACACAGCTCTTGGCCACACTTGGAATAATGATGTTCTGTGTTCAGGTTTAATGCTGATTTGTACAAATAAGGTCATTTGATTTGCTCGTGCCAACAATTCTAGACCCATTAGCTTCTTGAGTTGCTGAACTCAGGCTTCATAATTTGTCATTACATGTTTGCTGGTATTCCCTTATAAATTCTAGAGACAAGATCAGAGTGATTTTGATCATCATATTTATAATGGTATGATAATTGTTAAGGGTTGAATTCCACCAAACCCTCATGGAACTGGCCAAACATAACAGGGTACAACTGATATGGGTACCAGGACATGAGGGTATTGCTGGAAACGAAACAGCAGACCAATTACCTAAGATTGGAGCTGAACATCCGTTCATAGGACCTGAACCAGCCTGTGGCATCTCTATAGCAGTTGCCAGACACACAATCAGGGACTGAACAAATATGAAACTCAAGAAATACTGGGGATCCTTGACTGGACTCAGGCAAGCAAAGGGACTCATATGAGGACCCTCAGCTAAAAGACCGAAGGAACGGTTGAAGTTAAACAGGAACCAGCTACAGTGGTTGGCGGAACTACTTACAGGACACTGTCACCTTAAAGGACACCTCTCTGTACTGGGACTAAGTGATAGTCCCACTTGTGAGAGGTGTCAAGAATAAAATGAAACAGCCACACATATTTTGTGTGAATGTAAGGCCTTAGCTTATTTAAGATTACATCACTTGGGTCAATACTTTATGGAACCACATGGCTATTTCGACACCCCCACGTACAAAATCCTGCGCTTCATTTGAAGCGCAGGATTGCTGAGGGGATAATCAAAAGGGGAAGCACAGTAGATCACTGTAGGTCGCGGTGCAAGGGCCAAGAAGGCCTACCCCTCATACATTCATATTCATTCATGTACACATCTCACCACAAATTTATTGCACCATAACAGCACTGTGACACCAGTGGATCATCATCGGCTGACTTCTGTTTTGTGTTCGAGTGGATTTCGTTGTCACAGAATCACACACATACGTATGACAGCAGAATTGACCTGAATGTCTGATAGGATTTATATGATTATGATGATGCACATGTTATATACAACTTCTTTATTAAAACCGTTGCAACACAACATATATCAAGGTCAGTGCTTACAGAACGGACAATACTTTGTAAGATGAGGCACTGACTAAATAATTAACATTAATATTACTACATCTACATCACAAGTCTCTGATAACAATTCATTATTTATACACAAAATATAGAATACTCCAATTTTTCTGTGGGAATGCAACAAAATCACAAAAACCAACGACTGACTCGATGATGTAAAGCATCAATCGAAAAATTTTATTTTTGTTTTATACTATAACTTTCGTTTTATATAATCTAATTTATTGTAGTTTTATGCCAAGTATTTTAATATAATTAATATTATTGTATCCAATTTTATTAGTACTGCAGTTCAGTGTTGTATATATGTTGGCTATGTATTTTGTCTGATGATGGCTTTTAATAGCCGAAACATGTAGCAGAGCCAAATTAGGCAATGACTTTGATATATGTTGTGTTGAGACGGTTTTAATAAAGAAGTATATTATAACACAACTGGATGCATGAAATGAAAATCACGTGTCATATTAGCTCTTGCCTGTTTATGTACCACTATAAAAAGAATGTTTTATTGATGTTTTTAGTTTTGTTTCTGATATTGTCTTCTTTATTTTCAGTTCATGAAGTTTATGCGTCAAGTTGGTGAAGGTGAGATTACAGTAGAGGATGGTCAAGTTATTGGCGACAAGGAAGGAGGACAAGATGAACAGAATTCTAGAAAAGCTAATATCTGGGCTTCAGAATTTGCGTCTTTGCAAAAATCTAATCTTGAAATAAAAGATGAAGCAGAATCTTGGACTGAACAGTTTCAGGAGAAGTATGGCTCAGAGTTATCGAGTTCTGCTATTGAAACCTCAGTATCCAAACAGGATGATGATGGCAATTTTGGTTCTCAGTTCTGGGCAAAGCTACAGGATGAGTGGGAGAAGCTAGCTAAAGGTGGAGAGTTAGGGGAACACCCTTGGATATCTGAATTCTCAGAATATTATGATCCATTTAAGGTAATTGATGCAGCTATGTACACAAGAAATATTGCTCCTTCATTTACTGAATTAAGTGGTTTGAATCATGAAGAACTAAATGATATAGTGTAGTGGTTATGATTGCTTCTTTGTGTTTTGGAGGTGCCAGGTTCAAACCTCAGCCCAGATATCGGATATACCGACACATTTATGTTTTTTCTGATGTCTTCAGGCAAATGATGACTTAATATTTTAAAAACCGCTGTGTCAACTTCTTTCCAAATTCTTCCTGTATCATTCTCACCCATCCTATCACTTAATGTTACATAACCCATGCTGTTGATAGAGCATCATTAATATATGAAGAATAAAATTAATGAACCAGATGGAGGAAGAAGACATGAGTCAAACAAAAGGTTGAAGAATGACATTGCTTGTAATGTATGTATTTCAGTTACCAGTATACAAAACAAATATGTCAGTGTCATATGTTCCTGTGTTATCTTTCTGCTTAGAAGGAACTGATTGTGGGATGGATATGTGTTTTAATGATATTAAAGCATAAGCAGTTGAAAAGGGTAGAATAAGTGATTAGAAGGTTACACATTTTAACATTTAGGATTCTTGAAGAAAGCAGTCTTCTGGGATTTTGCACCGTGTATATGTGGTATTAACCGACGTTTCGGAGGAACGTCGGTTAACACCACATATACACGGTGCAAAATCCCAGAAGACTGCTTTCTTCATAGTCAGTGCCGTGAAAGCCTCAAATCTTACATTTAGGATTCTTCCTTTACCATATATATCGGAGTATCACATGCCCCTAAATAAGACAACATGATTATTTTTTGAATGAAAAATAAAGGGGGTGACTTGCAAAATTTAATTTTATATTTGAATGAACTAATAATAATAATATCATATGTTGACAAATGATATTAATGCAGCTACTCCCACTCTAAAAATCTATAAAAGTATGCATGATGACAGCTGAAACTGCAGTAGTATATGCTGTTGTTACTGTGTGGCTTGTTTTTAGCATCATGACAGTGTCAAACTGGAAACCACCTGTCAGTTTTTAAAAACTTTAGTTGTAATATCTGTTGGTATATAGTCCCCTTGGTCCATTCAAAGTATGATTGAATTTCTAAAAATTTTACCTGAGGAAAGCCTGCTACTTCATAGAAAAAGGTATCTCTTTTTTCTCCAGTCTTAGATGTAACTTTCACCTGCATTGAACTTTCCATTGAGGGCACAGGTCCCCATTAGTTCTGCTTCTCTTAAAATCTTCAGTTTCTCACAGACATTAACTTGTAGCTGCTGTATCATTCAGTTCCAACAGCTATAATTCTGTTTTTCTCCAGCTGCACTGAACATCTGTTCTGACTGAAGTAACAGTGTGTCTGTGAATGCTACATTTAGTATGGTAAGCAAAGATATTGTTTGTATTCATGATATTGCCTAGTCTGCTTCTGCATCTCATGTATTCATGTATGTAACACCTTAAGCTACCCAAATCAGGTCCTTGAATATAATGTGGTGTACCAAATAACTACAAGAACAGTTGGTCTTGCTTTGGGTACCCACTTCTTTCCCAGCTACTCTGGTAACGTAATTCATGTCCAAGAAGACGTGCCCACCCATCCTTTTGGCAGGATGTGGCTGCCCTCATGAATATTACAGTATATAGTAGCTAAAACTTTCTTGAAGAAATGGTACTCAAAGAAGTTTACTCATACAATTGAAAATAATTGATGCAAAGACATTGCATATCCTATCTTATGTACAATTGAATTAGATTGCCTTGGACACAAAATTGATTTTTGTTCACTAGACCACTGTTGGTTCTGAATATTGAACAAAACCAAATTTTGAAGGTAAATTAGAGGAATAAAGTAATACTCCGAAGATTGGTCACTATGTAATATTTAATTAGAAATTACTTTGATTTTGGTGTATCTGAAACCTCCCCAGGGAGGCCCTCTATCATCCTGCAAAGTTTTGTCAAAATAGGTGAACTGGTGTGGAAATGTATAAATAACAAACATAGGAGACACTCCTGTGTATATACATTGAGATTGTGATTATAAAATAAACACCCTCATAACTATTGAAAATGGATTATATAAAGTTAACGGATATACTTCTAATAATGTTATATTTAAGCGTCCTGTTGCACTGATTTATGTCCATGATTTATTCTAACCGTCTTACAGTGCATACATTTATTCACCTTACTCTTCTCTCTTGCACTACATGTTTCAGCACAAAAGTGCCATCTTCAGGTGCCTTTCGATGTACGTCAAACTACTTCATTGCATGCCCTGTTGTCTTTATACTAAAATATATATTCATCATATGTATTGATAAATTTTAAATATTAAAAATATTAAAACTGTTCAGGATTTGTCATTCTTATGTCGTATCTCAACACGCGAGTCACAGAAGAAGATAGGTGTGACTCGCATATTGAGATACGACATAAGGATGACAAATCCTGAACAGTTTTAATATTTTTAATATTTAAAATTTATCAATATGTATGACGAATATATATTTTAGTATAAAGACAACAGGGCATGCAATGAAGTAGTTTGACGTACATCGAAAAGCACCTGAAGATGGCACTTTTGTGCTGAAACATGTAGTGCAAGAGAGAAGAGTAAGGTGAATAAATGTATGCAGTGTAAGACGGTTAGAATAAATCATGGAGATAATATACTTCAGTTTAGCCCATGACAACTGCATGTTGTACAATTAGTTACAAGAGTGAGGACACACCACCGTCACAGTATAATTCACTACATGTATGTATGAATAAGGATACTGTATTATATAACCAATACAAAACAATGAAAAGGTTTACTAAATAAAAAAAAACAAGGATGGCCTCTAGCATTGGGAAACAACGGGGCCTGAACAAGGAAAAGAAATCCAAAACACCATTTTACCAGCCTGACCCACTTACCTTTAAAGCCCCCTCTCCCCAAAGAGGAACACTGCAACCTCTCAGCTTGAGGGCTCAACTCATAGATGTACATCTCCCTTGAAGTATCCCAGTAGAATCTGTCTTCATGCCAAAATTTGTTGCTTGGGACCAAGTTCCAAATATCCACATGGTGAATCAGAAAAAGAAGAAAAGGAGAAAATAGCAAACATTACAGCTTATGCAGCAATGAGTATCTGAATTGTGATGCATGGCTCAGTGTGTACCCATTTCTTATTGAGAAAATTTTGGAAGGAAAGTGCCTGTGGTATTTGGGTAAATATGTTATATATATAGTCAGAATTTGTTGCATAATTTGTGCACCCTATGGATGTCATATTAAAGCAATTTAATACACTTTATGGAGCTGAGTCATTTTTCAGAAGTTGGTAGTCCCTTAAATGATCAGGAAGTTCTCTGCGCTTTTATAAAACTTGAAGGTTTATTACATTTGCATTATTCACATTTGCCCATGACTTGACCCTATCCTGAGCCAAATGATTCCAGTCTTCTTCGCACTATATTTCTTTAAGGGTCACTTTTATTATACAGTCATTCATGTCTAGGTTCTCTTCTTCACATGATTTCCAACTAAAAGTCTAGTCAGGTACATATAATGTTATATCTAAGGAAAATTATGCTGTTGCTGTATTCTAATGCAAGTTACTTGGGAATTTTTTTCAGTTTGATTCGTCCTGCTTTGTGTGTTATGATGTAAGATATTACACGATATTTTGGCAGGAAACTCAGTACAATCCAAGTAATGGTTGAAAACATTGATTAATGGACACAATAAGGAAATCATGTTTTGTATTTTTCAAACCATTTGTCTTTTATGACACTGTCAGTATCTAGACTATGTGGTGTTCATTGGTAAGATGGATGATAATTTGGAAGGAAGTGGTCATGGCCTGGTCAGGGTACTGTCCCAGCATTTGCCTGGAGGAAAACTATCAAAGAGAAAGAGCAGTAGCCAGAGTCCTGGCCAGAATTCAAACTAATTACCTCCCAAATACAAATATAGAGTGTTACCACTCGACCAGCCTACTCGGTGTTGATAGAATGAGAACATTAAGTTTTAAATATGTATCATCATACAATGTTTCTGTGGTCATTAGGTATAACTGTTAGAAAACAATCTGTTAACATTCAGAGAAATGTATGATTACTATTATTATGCTGCAGGAATATCATTTTGAAGTAGACAATCCTATGAAAGGTAATGAACATGCGTTGGAGGAAGGTAAACGGAAATTGGAAGCTGGAGATTTACCAAGTGCTGTTCTGTGCTTTGAAGCTGCTGTTCAACAAAATCACACCAACAGTGAAGCCTGGCAACTTCTGGGTACAACTCAAGCTGAAAATGAACAAGTAAGTTGTTGATATACAAATCATGAAAACCAAGATCTCAAGTAAATAGGCAAGTTTTGTGCAGAACTTCAAAGTGCATTGGTTAACATATCCTAAAAACCATAAAAGGGATTAGAAAGACAGAGTTTAAAATCATGGTATAACTTATAACAAAAATGATGTACTCATGTGAGCCTTTGACCCAGTTTTCAGTAGCCAGTATTGAGAGGGATCAGCTTCTCATCTGACTGCACACGGGGAATATGCCAAGTGCGAAGTGTGAGCTAACAGATCGGTTTCAGGTTTCATGGAGTATCAGAGGTGTAACTGACATGAAATAGAGTGACACTTGTGAGGCTCTTGTGCACTGGTCTGTGACATCAGGTGATCATGCCACCAATATTTTGTAGTAAAAAAATTATCAGGAAAACAAAACAGTGGTCACTTTTGTTTGTGATTGTACACCCATCAAGATCCCTCCAGTCTTACAGATAATGTTCCTTGCAATTGCCTGCATCCTTTTCGTTATTGACAGTGCAGTTCTCTTGTAATCTGTGCAGTGAAAATGTATGTCGGTTATATTCAGGAGGTTTCCAGTTGAAGTGTAAAACAGCGTACTGACTATTTAATTGGAACTTTTTGTGGCTTTCGTCATACAGGTGAAGTAAATATTTTGTTGTAATTTGAAAGAGACCACCATAATTTTCTCCATCCTATCCACTGTACTCTGCTTTATTATCATTTCATCTCTTTGACTGCTAAAGAACTTCTGCAATTTATAAGGAGTCATTAAAACTATACAGTTACTCAGCAACAATAGCACCAGTGTGTGCCTATAGCAGATTAGTCTCACCGGGGAATTCCTTTGCATTTTTGGTGTACCTAGCTGTCAAGTGAGATGTTACATGGTTTCCTCTGATCCCCCCAGTCAAAGACCACAGGACAACACCTTGAAATAAGTCATAACAGCTTCCTTCCACATTCCTCCAAACTCACAAGCAGTATTCATAAGAATATATTAGGCACGTTTATGTCTTGAATTTTCATGATATAATCGAAAGGAAATTTTGGTTTCAGTTTGAATGTTGATAACTACTGTTGTGCAGTAGCACACAAACTACTTGAGCTATTAGAAGCGTAATGGTTGTCAATACTAAGCATCAATCAACTTGTCAGCAAAATATATCTCCCCCCTCTCTCTCTGCCCATGGTGAAAAAAATGAACTTAGAATTGAATTATTTTAATCCATTTCATGTCACGAGGTAATCAGATTGGCTCAGTGTACTTGCATTGAAACTGCTACAGCCAAAAACATTGGCTTGATAGCAGTCACTTAATAGAGCATTTCTGTTGATACATGGCATCAAATGTTATATGCCAGTGTTTAGAAAAATAATAGGCTTTCACACTATCTATGTCTGTGATCATTTGAAGGTACTCTACAAAAGTAGTGAGAATGGAGTTCTCTTTGTGGCAGCATTTACCCTGAACCAGCCTTAGCGTTTCTAGTGTGTAGCTCTCTAGTGAGGCTTGGCAGTCAGAAGGTTAAAATACCATGGTTTATAAAAATTGTTATTGAAAAGGTATCTGATATCAGCAGCGAGAAGCACCATGTTTAAATTCCTTGTGGAAAGTGTCCAGTGTTATAAATTGTGATTACAGTGAAAACATTAGTCAAATAGAGAAAATTCTCATCTTAATTCCCAATATTTTTCCTGAAATCTTAAATCTTTATGATACCAGAATCATTTCATGTATCCTACCAAATGAAATGCATGTGTTGAGTTACATGAATGTGTCATTTATGTGACAGCTAGGCTTGCCCATTTGCAGCAAACTGAGTCTCAAATGCAGCAATGTCCTTGCAATGCAGATAGACATAACTGGAGATAAAAGTTCCTGTAGCAAATAGATTGGTTATTTGTGGTTAAAAGTTCAAATAAATGGAGACACAAATTAAGGCAAAAAACAAAAAAAAGCAATTATACAACAGCCTTTGCAAAGTAATGGCTGTTGCAAGGCAATGGCCAGGTAGTGATCAGATGGGAACCCCAACATATACAAATTCAACAGTTGCATGGTAACAGAGCAACGGTGTTTTCTGTGCAGTTTTTGTCAACATGTTATAAGCAGGACAAATCAGTGGAGTGAGTGAGAGTGTGCTGTTAAAAGCTGGTAGCTGAGGCTGGGGACAGTTTGGGAATCCAGGGGTAGGGGAACATCTGCTGTTGGAAGCTGTTACCAGAAATTGGTAAAGACACAGCAGCCTGAAAATACTTAAGTTTGTGAATTAGCACAATGGTTATAATTACTTGTAGTCACAGATCTGTAAGTGCTCAGTGAAATCCAAACCTCATCTATAGTCAGTAAAATCTTTGGCAATATAAATATGACATTAAATAATGAGTTTACTTTAACAGTAGTATTTACTATATACAGTATTGGTACCCATCAGTAATGCTTCTGAAGAGCATTTAATGGGCTTAGGGAAGAAGTGGCAGGAGTAAGGCTATCAGTAAGTTCGCGCCATTGCTCAAGCGGTTAGTTGCTGGCTTCCCACCGCGGTGGCCCGGATTCGATCCTGGGTCTGGTCAAGTGGGATTTGTGGTGGACAAAGTGACGCTGGGCAGGTTTTCTCCAAGTACTTCAGTTTCCCCTGACAGTCTTGATTCCAACAAATTCTCCATCATCATAATCACTGGGGGCAGGCTGCAATAGGCCAACCAGTGGCTGCCATGCTGAATGGACCCAATTGGACTCCACTCCCCACTAAGCGAATAAAAAAAAGGGCTATGAGTAGATATGAAATTTCCCAGGACCATCCTTGGAAAGGAAAACTATTCTATACCAGGCAAAAGCAATAGGAAAAAAGAGAACCTGAAAGAAATGAATAAGCACCCAAACTGAAAATGAAAGCAAGCAAAATATTAAGCACACCCTGCAAAAACATTTTTTTTTTTTGGTGGGGCGGAGGTCAACANTTTCAAAGTTTTGTAGGTTGAAATTTCTACCTCTTATGTTTCATGAAATTGGAGTGAAGCATGGGATGTGGAATGAACTTTATATGTTTAGAAACACTGCTTGTAAGTAGGAGATGTTTATAAAATTGAGATTCATTAACTGAAACTTAAGTTAAGGTGTGCCTGTATTTGTACAATAGTGCAACATTTCTGTTGTATATCATTACAGGATCCAGCAGCCATCTCAGCTCTGAAGAAATGTCTGGAACTAGAACCAAGTAATCTAACAGCACTAATGGCTCTTGCTGTTAGCTATACGAATGAGAGTTACCAGAACCAGGCCTGCCATGCTTTGAGGGTAATGTACTTTTTAGGTGTTTTGTTTTATCTTCACTGTTAGTATGTCATACAATAATTACATTCTCTTATAATTGCAGGAGTGGCTCCATGAGAATCCAAAGTACTCAGATTTAGTGCCAAAAAATGAGCATATGACAAATTCTTCAAAAATGGGAAATGTTTCATCCTTGCTTGCAAGGTAAGGACGTTGTTCCCAATATTGATATAGTTTAAGCTACAATATGTATTTGATTGTTTGTGTGTGTGTAAGTTTATTACTGGCTATATAAATTCTGAAGTGAGTAGACATTACTTAGTGTAAAAATATTGAATATTATTTGATATGTAATGTCAGAATCATATACTGTATATGTATTGAATGTGTATTAAGATAACATATTGTAGTATAAAAGTGTATAGCTCAAAAATTGTGTGAACAACAGAAAAATCATGAGACCAAGAAAATGTTTTGTGTTAACTACAAGTTGTAAACAGTTCAAATTCTGAAAGCTAATTTTCATCCATATTAGATGATTTGGATTACTACTGTACACAAAAGCCTAAATGTATCTGAAAAAGATTTTTATGTTGTATTTATAAATTTATATAATATGCAACTGTATGATCTGTTAGAAAAATTGTTACCATAAATGCTTATTTCGTAACATCTCAGCCACTCAGCATATACTTCACTTGAAGTCAGAATTTTAAAGGTTTTTTTTTAATACTCATTGGCTGGGACATATATTTCAGGCAAAATATATGGAATTCAACATGATAAATGCTGTGTTCAACCAATTTTATTTTCTGATAATATGCAGTGTAATACAGTACTGCCCCCTTTTCTCTTTTCAAAATATAAAAGGTTCATTATTAGAACTAAATGAAGTATGCACATACTGTCACTTTCCTCTAAAAAATAAAATATTATGTTTATTTGTTTCTGTATACAATAAATAAAGAAGCAATGGCAAATTGTGAAAGCATTGTAGTCACCAAATGCCAAGCAGCTACGCTTGCTAACTTATATTGAGCCATACCACACAACCATGTAAGGTCTGTGACACTCTGTCTTTTGTTGTCCAGCGACATTCACAAAGAAGTCCAAGAAATGTACATTGCAGCAGCACGGAGACATCCTTCAGCAACAATTGATCCTGACATTCAGTGTGGACTGGGTGTACTCTTCAACCTCAGTAATGAGTATGACAAAGCAGTAGATTGCTTCAAAGCTGCACTACAAGTCCGGCAGACAGTGGGTGTATTTAATGTATTTAACCCACTCTTCACGTTTTTAAGCACGGATAAGTTTTCCCAGTCAGAGTTTCTTTGTGTTATAAGCGGCCTCCGTAGTCTAGAGGTAACGTTCCCACCTCCTGACTCGTGGTACGCGGGTTCAAATACCCGATGGAGGTCGTCGAATTTTTAAGGGCGGAAAAATTCAGGGAAAAAGTCCTCCGGGAGGGACTTTAAGCTGTGTGTCCCGTGGCGTAACTTTACGGCACATAAAAGAGCCTCATATCCCCAAAGGGGATCCACTGAGCCAAATTCCAGGACGTTTCCCGCCCAACAATAGCCTCTAAGGCCTCTGATAGATGGGGGAAGCATTATAGACACCGCTAAGCAAGTGGCTGAACTCGCTTGCTCGGCGGGACTGATGGTACGCACCATTTATCGGTAGGGTAAAGAGACTGGTAGAATATCATAGAGGGAAGCACAATAGATCAAACTGGTTGCGGTGCATGGGGAAAACCACCCTCTCTACATAACTAACTATTCTTTGAGTTATCATAGCTATCACCATTTCAGCTGTACCATTCTTTACGAGGGGGTACCCAAAAGAAACCGAACTTATTTTTTTTTAAACTTATTTATTCAAATTTTAAGCACAAACCTTCAGTCCCCTTCAAAGTACTCTCCACTTACACTAATACACTTGTCTAGTCTTTTATTCCATTTTTCAAAACATTGTCTAAATTCATCTTTTGAGATGCTTGACAGCGCCTCCGTCGTTTTTTCCTTTCATGTCTCTTTTCATTTGAGGAAACAAAAAAAAGTCGCACGGGGCAAGGTCGGGTGAGTATGGAGGGTGAGGAACAGGGGTCATACCATTTTTGGTCAAGAATTGTCATACAGACAGGGCTGTGTGAGCAGGGGCATTGTCATGATGGAAAAACCAGTCACCCGACTGCCACAAATCTGGCCGCTGAGCTCCAAGTCACTCCTGACAGCTCCACAATTTCTTCAATGGTCCATCGTCGATCTTCCTTGATGATTTCACGAATTTTTTCAACATTTTCATGTGTTCAGGCCGTGGAAGGACGACCAGAACGAGGTTTGTCATCAATTGACATTTCACCATTTTTGAAATGGGAAAACCACTCAAACACTTGAGTTTTCCCCATAGCATCGTCCTTGTACGCTGTTTTTAACATTTCAAGAGTTTCTGTTCCACTTTTCCCAAGCAAAAAGCAGAATTTCTCCGCCGCACACTGTTCACGAAAATCAGCCATTTCAAAAACGACGATCACACAAAACAGTTGTCACTATAAACTCTGCCCAAACTAGTCCTTACCTTCTGAAGCAACGGTATTCGGCTTATCGACTCAGGAATGTTAGCTCTATGCGCTCATAGCGGCAAAACGCAGTACTACAAGAGCTCTGCCCACAAAAAAAATTAGTTCGGTTTCTTTTGGGTACCCCATCGTAGATTTTAAAGAAAAAAAATCTGCTATAATTTTATTTATGTTTTTTGAGTCTGTGTCAGAAATCGAATTTCCACACGTATAACCAATAAAAACTTGTGTGAAAGGTGTGAAAAGTAACAGCGTAGAAAATGAATACGATTATAGTTAGCATTGGTGTGACAAATTCTGCCTTAACATTGATTACAACAGGATGCATGAAATGAAAATTATAAATGCTAGTCAAGCAAGCAGCATATATAAAGTAATCATGTGTTTGCCTGATGATGGCTTTAATAGCTGAAACATGTAGCTAAGTTAATTTCAGCCTTGACCATGGTATTGTTGTGTTGCAATGGACTTTAATAAAGGATTGTAATAAGACTGTATTTATAGTTGGTAATGAAACTTTAAACTCTTAAATCTTATTTCCTAAATTTGTGTTTAGTTCAGACTTGGTGCAAGATAATGTAATTGTAACAGTTCATTTTTACAGGATTCTCGAATGTGGAACCGTCTAGGAGCAACATTAGCGAATGGCAACAGATCAGAAGAGGCAGTTGATGCTTATCATAATGCATTGCAGCTTTCTCCTGGTTTTATACGGGCTAGGTAAAAATAAACTATAAAGATATTTATTGTAAAGATACAGTATATCATTTACATTCATGCAAATCTATGCTGAATAGGGTTCACATCTGCAGCCTGCAAGAAATGTGACTTGTAATGTCATCCTATGCATATGTTCATGAATTTGTTTCCTAATAGCAATTTTTGACTGAACTGGCTACTCCAATCGTCATGACAGTTATCTTGTTCTTGAGTGACTGATGTCTCTTCCTCCAGATGGTCCATAATTCAGTGGCTGTTTGAATACTGACTTATCATTCCAGATGAGCTTTCCATGTCGTTAAGTATTCAGTTATTTTTCATTTAAGCAAAATATATAAATCTTTGCTGATGTCATTTATTTTGTATTCTATTAAACTGGTTTTGAGTAACTTGCTATTTCATGTAAGTGGAGGTTACAACATTTCTGTGCTTCTCTAATAATTTAACCCATCATCAGTAATTTCATATGGTCTTGAAATTTTATGCCATGTAAATTCTTCGAAAATGTAGAACTTGATTATTGCCATATTGTTTTAACAAAACTGTATGTGAATTGTTACAGATATAACCTTGGAATTACTTGTGTAAATCTAGCAGCATACAGAGAAGCAGCAGAACATTTGCTGACAGCGCTAAATCAGCAGGCTGCGGGGAGAGGTGTTCAGGGTCAAAGGTCATGGTCTGCTATGTCAGATTCCATTTGGTCCACTATGAGACTTGTTATGTCATTGTTAGATAGACAAGATTTATACGATGCTCTGGATAATAGGTAAGTAGTATTCTTCTGTGTAAGGGCAATTTAAAAAAAAAAAAGATGTTATGCTGCAGACTGCTTTTCTGAACAGGGTAATGAACATGTTCCATAACAGCCAGGCCTGTTATCCATCCTGCAGTTTTTTCCTCTGTAGCTACTTGTGTCCATCCTGGAAACTTTTAGTTATTCTGTATGGTTAAGCCCTGGTAAATATTATGATCATTATATAAAGAAGAGCTATATGTAAAAGAGCTGAAGCATTTTCATAGTGAAGGTCAAGGAATACAGGTGTAAGATTGAGCCTTCATTTCACAAAGTTTCTTGCAATATTCCACAATCTCTGGAGTGAAGTATTTTCAGCATATGATCCAAAATCAGTAAGAATATTCCAGAATTCAGTAGTAAGTTTCGCATCCCTTATTTCATTGACAAGGGTACAAAATATAAGCTGATATTGATGGCTAACTTTGATTTATTTCATAATCTGAAAATAGATTGAATATTCAATCTTAAGTTAATTTCACTAGATGATCAAATACAGCAGCAAGTGATGGATGTTCTAAAATGATGTACATTGTAACTGAAGGAGGGATGTGAACCTTACATGTGCATGGTTCTCTTTATCATGCATATACTCATCAGAGATAAGTTAAGATTTTGTGTATCATGCCAGAACTGATTATATTTTATATTGTTTCCTTCACAGGGATTTAAACAGACTGAATGAGGAATTTGGAATTGATTAGGACGTGATAATGAAGAAGAAATGCACAGATTCAACTGTAATGTTGGAGAGTGATATGTGCATTGTAGGGTTTTCTTTTTCCTCTCTCTCTCTCTCTCTCTCTCTCTCTCTTGGGGTTTTCGGCACTTAGAACAAGACTTGATCAAATCCACAATTGGTGTGTGTTATATTAACATATTCCTTCCAGTAATTTCAGACTCTCAAGATTAAGATTGTTCTTGTACTTAGTTGAGTACCTTCTTTTTACTGACTAAAATTGGTTTCCTCACTGAAGTTATGAAAGTTAGTAGGAAATGCTTTTATGGACTGAATCATAAATTATGAGTTTTGTAGTTGTTATCCTTTCTCTTCCCACCCCACCTCACACTTTCCTTTGCTGTTGTTCATAGGCATTTGAAGTATTTTAAGTGCCTAATGTATTGGGGTCTGTACCTTACACTTGTAAGTAGGAATTGGTCACTCTTGTTCAAAGTCGCCATTGGGATGCTTAGTTAGATCACTAGTACTGTGAGTTGTATTTGATGTTCTGAGATATGTGTTCAAAATTGGTGCTAAACATTATGGTCATATTAATCCATTTTTACAAACATATTAATATGAAAGTATGTTCTCCAAAAACTGTACAATTAATTTATTTTGAAGCCTTAAAAATTTGTTAAACTGAATGGAACTGATCTTTATCACAGTTACAATTTACACATGGCCCATTTATTCGGCATAAGCAGTGCTTGAAGTGAAATAGAATTGGGGTGGTTTGTAAGATTTCTAAGCTGAATAAAAGGAGGCAGGATCATTTGTGATGTCCTTGAAGTTGAAGAATTATAGAAGGAAAGGTTATTTGTATTGGCATTGAGCTACCTATACAACAGTCTGAAGTAGATAAATTTATTTTTTGAGGAGCAGTAACAATAAAATTAATCTTAGTGTATGCTGAATTAAAATACTTGTGACACACAACTCTTTAATGAACCGTCACAACACAGCAACTAGTAAAACATCAAAGTCAGCATACAGCTGTGGCTTTGCTACATGTTTCGGCCACTATCGGCCATCAGGAAAATACATATCAACAAAAATCTACCATTTAACTGCAATCATAAAATGGATATAACACTATTAATCGTATGATTTTAAAATTGCTTATGTAAAAATACAAAAGTTCAGATTATATAAAAATTAAAAATTGGAACAACAGTCGTTGTTTGCTTTCCATGCAGTATGGACAATTCTTCTTAATGACGAGGCAGCATTACACAATTCATTAATCGCTACACCATAGGCCTCTCTTAAAATCTTTTATATAAAGTAATATCAAATTTCCCTATTGTCTGTGGAAACGCACACAAAGTATATCTAACGACTGATTCAATGTTTTTGAAAACATCATTAATATTTTGTTATAATACTTCCAATTTTTATATAATCTGAACTTTTGTATTTTTACATAAGCAATTTTAAAATTGTACGATTAATAGTGTTATATCCATTTTATGATTGCAGTTAAATGGTAGATTTTTGTTGATATGTATTTGCCTGATGATGGTCAATAGTGGCCGAAACATGTAGCAAAGCCACAGCTGTACGCTGACTTTGATGTTTTACTATTTGCTGTGTTGTGACGGTTCAATAAAGAGTTGTATATTGTAGCACAGCAGGACGCATGAAATTAAGATTATTTGTGACACCTTTAGGTGCCTTGACAAGACATAGTTTCTCATACAGCTGAATAAATATCAAAATCTAAGATCCTCATTGTGGTGAATATGAGAATGTTGTCTTGTGGGATAACACCATGTAGTCTCAGAAAAGTAGTCATCACCTGGTTTTCTGATATCCAGGTATCTAAGCATTCAGAATTCTCATCCAACCGGCAAGAGTTAAAAAAAATTACCATTTTCATAAAGTTATTTAGAACAAATTTGTGATGGTCACACAGGTTTTCCAGCCATTACTAGCAGCATTGAAAGCTGAGATAGAATAGTTTGTATAGCGACTGGCTACAGGCTGGACAACCAAGGGGCTGGAGTTCGAGTCCTGGTAGGGTTAAGAATTTTCTCTTCTTCACGTCATCCAGATGGGCTCTGGGGTCCACCCAACCTCCTATCCAGTGGGTACCAGGGGCTCTCTTCCCGGGCATAGAGCGGCTGGGGCATGAAGCTGACCACTCACCTCCAGCTAGTGCCGAGGTCTAGAAAATGGGGATACGCCTTCGTAGCATAGTGCTTAATTAGTTAAAGCACAAGGACTTAACTTTTTACTAGCAGCACTAGTCCACCATCCTTCCTCATGTAGGTGCCATCACAGAAGAGGCTAGTTGAATATACACGTATGATTGCATTACAGTATATATCAGAAACCTGTCATTCATCAATCCACTGTGTAGCCTAGGAACACTTCAATGCCAGAACTAAAATGAAAACATGCTGCTTTGACTCTGTTGGTTTTCATGAGAGTTTTTCTTATCTGCAACGTGTATGTACATAAATGGCACATGCCAGATAACCTTGAGTGAACTGTACCAGTGATTTGGAGGAACCTGCTGCCTCCATCTTTGGGGTTCTTTGCCGTAAGATGGAGGCATGAAGTTCCCTTGAAACTTTGGTGCCTTTCTGCTAAACGTGGGATCACTTCCATAAGACAGTAATCTATGAGGGGCAGTCAAATCAAAAACGGGTCAGAAGCCAAAAGATATTAAAGAACATTTCTTACCTCAAAAGTAATCTCTAAAACTGTTAATACATTTATCCCACTGGGAGATAAGATGGTCAATCCCATCCTTTAAAAAACTTGTGGGCTGTATATGGAACCACATCTTTACCCAGCCACACACGTCTTCGTCCGATGCAAACCGATGTCCACGAATGTCTCTCTTCAGGTCTCCAAAAATGTGAAAATCACATGGGGAGAGATCTGGGCTGTAGGGGGGATATTGAAGCTCTTCCCAACCAAATCTCTGTAGCTCCTCACAGTTGACAGTGTGAGGGCGTGCATTATCATGAAGAAGGATAATGCCGTTCGATAGCATTCCAGGGCATTCGACTTTATGGCACATCTCAGTTTCTGCAAATTGTCTTCATAGCACTGTACACTGATTGTGGCCCCATGCTTGAGAAATTTGACAAGCAGAAGGCCCTTGCAGTCGAAGAAGGTCATCGTCACTTTACTGGAACTTGTGTGTACGGCTTTGGATTTCTTCGGTGGGGGAGAATTCACGTGTTTCCACTGTTGGCTCTGCCGATCGCTCTCGGGCTCAAAAGGGTGGCACCAAGTTTCATCCCCAGTGGCAGTACAGGACAGAAAAGCATACTCTTCTTCGTGGTATTGTTGCAAATGACCCAGTGATGCAGCCATTCTCCGAGTCTTATTTTCCTCCGTGAGTTGATGTGCAACCCACTGTGCACAGATTTTGCGGTACAGCAGGTGTTTTGTCACAATGGCGTGTACGGAACCGTGACTTATTCCCATCAAAAGACTAATTTCTTCCAGTGCTCTGTCGGTTTGCCTGGATATGACCATCCAATGCAGCAGTAACATCAGGAGTGATGACACAATGAGCCTGTCCTGGGCGAGCATCATCTTGCAGTGACACACGTCCCTCTCGCAATATCTTATGCCATGCCAGCATATGCAAACGTGACATGCTGTGTTCGCCGTAAACAACAGACATGCGCCAATTAATTTCTCGTTGTGCTACTCCTTCAGCAGTCAAAAAGCGCACTACACTTTGCTGTTCTTTAGTTGCCTCCATTACTGATGTTGGACGACCACACGTAGCACTAACCTTACTTCCAGCACAATAAACAAACAGCTAGTGTGCAAGGGCACATCACTGTGCTTTCCCAAGTCCCCACCAGATGTCCGTACCGTAAGCAAATTCCAGTATTACCAACTTGCGCGCTGTGTGAGTTATGCGTGGTGACCCGTTTTTATTTGACTGCCCCTTATAAATAAATATAGATTGCTTAGGGACATCCTGCGTAAGAGAATGTTTTGTAGGATCTTAACTACCATTATGGCAAAGGCAATGGATTAGGGAATTTTTTTTCTCCCCTTGACACTACAGCCTCAGTGGGCCTAGGCCTACCTCCATGAACTTCTCCGTTCACTTCGGTTTTTCTAGATCTTACACATTCGGTAGGACTCCTTGGGTGGGTGATAAGCTCATCGCAAGGCCTCTTCCTGTACACAAACACAGAAAAACGCACACACACAAACTAAACATCCATGCCCTGAGTGGGATTCAAACCCATGTCCCCGGTTTCCAAGCGAGCGAAGACAGTACATGCCTTAGAACACTCAGCTACCATGACCAGCAGATTAGCCAATTAGACTGTTCAAAATTTGGAGAAAGAATCTAATCTGATGGTGTAAAGTCTTGTTTCATTATCGCTGAAATTTGCCTAGTTTTGTGGTGTGATAGAAGAGATGGTAAAATTGGTGTAATTCTAAATAAATACAGGAATACTATGGGACTTCTGTTCAGTGTTCCTCCATATTTAGTCTTTATTTTCACATACTAGTTGAATTCCCTCTATTTTAGGGTTTCTCTAGTTTAACACTCAAGGCTGTTGTCTCCCAGAGAAGCATCGAGTAGAAATTTAATTTTTACACGGATGGTTTTGGATCCAGTGAAAGAGAGCAAAATGGTTCAGGCCTTGTGAAACAGGAAGCTGTATGACATCACATCTAACCCTGCCCTGCTTCAGGCACTGGGTTTACTTTTTTTGGTGTTGAAGAAGTAAGATTTGTACTTTTTTATTGTATGCTTCCATAAAGTTGTTAATGTTCTACAGGTCTCAGAAGTGTAGAAATGTTTATCAGTGATGAAAAATGACTACTAACATATTGTGCATGGGCAGTAATAATGACTTCTATCCTTTTCCCCACATTATGACTTAACCCAGAATGAATCATGTCATACCATCTATCTGAATTAAGATAATTCCCTTATGTTTACCATGTAGGTTTATTATGTGACTATGAAAATAACCAATTTTTTATAATTTCTGACTTAACCCCCTTTTCATATGCACTTGCAACAATATGACTGTATATGTATATAGTGTAGGTATATATTATATTGGAATGGGACTTGTACTATATAACCATAACATCACTGCATTCAAATTAATTTATGTGGCATCTGTCAAAGCAGGGCTTGAAATAGACCTGTATCCAATTCAGGAAAAGGGATGACTTGGAAAAATCACATTTTTGAGCTGCTTCACAAAACACAATATCTAAACAGTTCATTCTTAGCATACACATGTTTAAAGCATAGGAAAAGAAATGAGAGGAAACTCCTTCATTCCTTCCCGCCCCCACATATCAGTGGTGCATAAAAAAATGTTAAAACAGGTTGTACTTATCTTCATATGAAAATCAGAGTGATGATAGATTTATCATAATAGTGCTTCTTTGAAAATGAATGTTATGGAAAGTGTTTAGACACTCCTGTAAGCAAGTATGCATGAACTGTAACTTATTCTTGCTGATCATAATGACCATGTGGTCTAAGGAATGAACTGTCTTTGTCTGCTCAAACAGTAGGATTGTGGGTTCGAATCCCACTCAAGGTATGGATATCTGTGTGCATTTATTCTGTGGTTGTGGTGTCCTGTGTGCAGGTAGCAGCCTTGTGATGGACTGATCACCTGTCCAAGGAGTCCTACCGACTGTGTAAAGGATCAGGAAATTGAAAAGCAGCCGAAGTCCAACAAAGGGTTGTAGAGCCATAGATAACTCATTCTTTGCCACTGTCTGGAGATACCACTTAACATGCTCTTCAGGTACCAAAGACAGCTTACAACATCTTGGATCAGTTATCAGAAAATGTTGTATTTTCTCCACATGATCCCGTTACTGCATAATCTTCATAGATCATAGTAAAACTGGGAGGAAACATTTCTCAATTACTGACACACATCCAATAGAAGCATTTATTTTTTCAATCACGTATATTTGTGTTACTATTTAAAGCTGCAGATGCTTGGCGCACAGGGCATTCTGTGGTTACATACTGTCGTATTCCTCACAGAGGACATTTTGGTGTCGTGAATAACTCACTTGTTCTATATCAGTTATTTTGAGATTAATTTTAGTTAAAACATCAATAACTATTTACATAAAGTTCATTACTTTTAAACCAGTACCACAGTATTTATGGCTTTCGTACACTGTTCTCGTATGGGATCAGCTGGTTGTCATGGAGGGAAACAGTAGTTATATTTTGCAGTTTGGACTATAGATATGCCAGAAGCGCAAATAGGAATTGCAATTGTGAATAACAACCCTCGCATCCAAATGTCAGTCTTGGTAGATGACAACCACATCATCAGAATAATAGATATTGTGAATGACAGCTCTGATACCCTTATATGAAATACAATGAATGCCAGTTCTGAATGTAGTGTCCTGTTACATCTCTCTCTGCAACACATTTCTGATTATCTTAAATTGTATGGTTTTTATTTAACCATTGTACAAAATATTTCAGTCATATACGACCATCATCAGATATGTCTAATGGTTGTGCTAAGTTGGTATGCTATGTATGCTTTGGGCAATATTTAATAAAAATCGAAACATACAGTTGTAGTTTCAAATTGGTTAAAACTATAGTAAAATCAAAATTAAAATTGAAGCAAACTTGTTTGCATTATATCACTGAAATAGTTCATTAGTGTGTGCCGTGTTATTCTTTGTCCTATTTCGTTTCCTGTTGTTGATTATTATGTTTCAGTTCACTGGTGTGTTTGAACTCAGTTCAGACATATACATTACATCACATTAACAAATTACTCTGACAGCATAATTAGGGGTTAGCATGACGAATAATTGTGGGTTCTAGATTTGCTGATTGGATTTATTGGATACTCAAAAGTCGTACGTACAAGTAATTAGAACACTCTGAAGATTACTATAAATGTAACACACAAAATGAATTCTTCAGCATCTGCTTACTAGTTGTTACTTGGTAACACTTCAACTAAACATTCATGATTGCACTGCCTTTTTATAACTGCAAGGCAGCCTGCATAGAAAACATCATCTTGAAGGGTTCCGTTGCTGTTTCATGAAAGCGTTACCTCGGAAATGCTTTTGTGTTTAGCAACTTGTTATCTGGTAATGACCCACTTGTTGGTGCTGTTTTAGCAGGAACATGATTTCTGGGTCATTACTCAGCAATGGACGCCTGGCTCTGGCTCCACTATTCCAGTTTTGAGCCACCACGTCACAATATAATTGTTGGTCATACTTAATGATGGTTGTATACACCAGAAACCTGTTGAATATAGCGATATTATGAGTGGTTAAATAAAAACCACTTAACTTCAGAATGTCACAGAAATGATGTGTAGAAAAGGATGAGAATGCAAGTACTATAGTAAATAATTCTGACATTCAGTTTTAAGTTATGGTGGATAACAGCCATAACATACCTGACAACCCTCACATCCAATTATCAGTAATGGTGGATGACCATGCATTATGTCTGAATATCAGGCAGTTCTTACATACAGATAGATTATCAAACACAGTCAGTGACAACCCCACATGACAAATGACATTTCAGGAATTTTATTTTTGGGTGGGGGGGGGGGCATTTTGATTGATACAGCTTTTTAGTGTTTATCAAGTTGTCATAGGAATCTTTTTCTTAGAAGTGGTAAAGGATTGACAGATAACCCACAACATTACTGTTCCAGCAAGAGAAGACACAGATCTGTGAATGCTGAAAATATTTTTTACACTCTGCATGCCTAACTTTGCTGGCTTTCACTCAGTGATAATGTACACTTAGCACCTGCCAGGAAAGTGTTCTTATAGTCTGCACATATGTTGTCCTCTCATCCTAATACAGAAGAAAATCATAATGTAAAGACGGTGAATAAATCATATGAAAATGTAGCAGAGTTTAAATATTTCTGAATGACAGAAACATATCAGAACTAAAGGCATACCAAAGCTAAGAGTATGTTGAATTTTGGATCTCATTATCATTCAGTTTAGAATCATTCATCTATTTTCCTGTCTAAAATTCTAAAGATTACAGTATCCAAACTATAATTCTACACATGCTAAATCACCAAATGAGTATGTATTTCTTAGAGTAAATGGAATGGTAATCATCAATTAAGGACAGGTGTTTTGCACACAAGAAAATCTTACCAGTAGTAAAGATGATAGCTTCTTAGTGGTAACTAACTGCTTGGAGCTGAGTCCTTATTTTAAAAGCCACCAGTTGCTCAGTTATTCAAGAATTTGCCAACATTTGATGGAACCCAAAGGTTCATATCTGTGTTACACAGGAGCCTGCCGCTTGTCCATATCCTGACCCAAATTATTCCAGTCCATGCCACCCCATCCTATTTCTCTAAGATCCATTTTAATATTATCCTACCTCTGTCTAGGTCTTCCTAGTGGTCTTCTGGCATTCCCACCAAAACCCTGCATGCATTCCACTTCACCCCATCTGCTACATGCCCTTCCAATCTTATACTCCTTGACTTGAGCATTCAAATTATATTTGGCAAAGAGAACAAGTTATGAGGCTCCTCATTTTTCCTCCACTCTGTTATTTCATCCCTCTTCAGAACCCTGTTCTCAAATACCCTTAGTCTATGTGTCTGTTAGTGGTAGGATGTTGTATATTAAATAAAAAGCTGTCTGCGTGACATTGTTCTGAACATAAATCAAAGGAGGCAGACTAAAAGCCAGGGTTGCAGGATCCTGACCAATTTGAGAAAATCTGAACAACGTATGATGTTAAATTAGTAGACATTTCATAAAGTAAAGGGAGAATATCTGAAAGACAGTGAGCTTCTAAGAAATAGAACAAGAATATCACAGATTTGTATAGGGTATACATGAATTTAAGGATTAGTATTATGGTAAAGAATGAGAAAGTTGAAGAATTATTAATTGCCAAGTACTGATCAAATCCCAAGCAGGTGAAATATTACATTCTGTGATTGTAATTTTAGAATAGCCATAGTTGAGGAAGGAATCCTACTGTACTTCCTTACTTTATTAGGCATATCATTCTCAACTTCACACACAATTTTATCCATCATAATAATCTGAAAGATAACTCCACATAGACAAAATTATTGGGGGTCATCAGCATGGATTCTGACAGATCACAAGGGATATATTGTCATCTCTCAAAATAAATCAGTGATGCCGTTAAAATCAGCAACCATAATGTTAAATATTATTTAGAACAATATATGAAGTACACATGAACTACATTTGGCTGCGATTAGTCTTCCTTAAGTTCACTGTATACTAATATTTGATGCAAGTTGTTACACTTAAATTACTCTTGGGTAGGAATAAGATTTCAATTGACAAGGCTACGATTCTTGAAGTTCTTTTAATAACAATATTTACAGTTTCAGTGTGTCTCTGCACCATCCATGCTGTGACTCGGTGGATGGCTCTTCAATCTCTACATATACGCCCTCCAAGTCAGACTTCTCCAGTAGTGTTAGTTTGGCCCTGTGACTAGAACAGTGTTACTCTGTCTAGCCCGAAAGAACGCCCTCGTAACTACTGCTGCCAGTCTTGAATCAGCAGTTTTCCCACACACAACCAGTGCAGCTAGCCCATGCTCTTGAAATGGATATAGCAAGCATGACCCAATTTGTCCCTGCTACTTCTCCTGGTTGCATACTCTACAAAACCACCACCAGTTTCCAAATGAAAGAAATACATGAGGAAAAGGGATGGGCCATAACAATCATTTATTAAAGGTAATTCTGGAAATATGCATACATATCCCATTTATACTAGTTTTATTAGGAATGTCTCATATTCAAACTCTGCCTCTGTTGTAGCTTCAAAATTTAATCATTCTGCCTGTAAAGTTTAAGTCCAAATTTTGTTTGAAGGGTGATGGTAGCACAACTATTCAGTAGAGCAAGACCAAGTTTTACCCAGATGGGTCTGAAATATCTAAAATTGATTGATCATCATGAAGAGGTGCAAGTATTTGTTAATGATGAATTACATGAAACTAGGTAGGAAGCAGTACTACTGATGAAACCAAGATAGGCTGTTAACCATTTGTGATTAAACTGGATACATCCAAAACACAAGTCAAATGTGTTGGTAAATACACTTGAAAAGGAAAGTGAATAAAACTGTATATTCACACAGTCATCATATAATTGATATAACAGCATAAAAGTAAAATGTTTTTATATCTTAAATGCAAGCTGTATTCACAAATATGAATTAAAAAGCCCATTTTGTCTCAAGAGAGAACTGATTATATCAGAGCATCCTCTGATCGAATATATTCGCCTATGTCTGCTTGATGAAAACATACAATTGACATGGGATCTGCATGTTTACATTCAGCTGTTGTCTTGGCTGCTACTCCAAAGCCCTGTTTGAAAGAAAACATACATCAAGAAACTGGAGAGGTTACAAAAATACTTTCTTCATTAAATCTCATTGAATTATTTATAACAAAGTGTTGTTAACACCTACCTACATAATAATTTAATGTATGTGATACTACTAGTTCTCTCAAGACTGTTTAAGTAATGGCCACATTTCTGCAGTGATTCCACCAAGAGGAATCAATGCTGAGAACAAATCTCACAGAACAAGTGTCAGTGTTTAAGAGTAAGTGCAATTTCAAAATTACACAGTTCCATTTATGTTACATATTGCAGTATTGTCTGTTTTGTGCCATGATCACTTTATTACATGCAAGTATATAAAATACCTATACCATATAACCTTTCACTTACCAGAGGCAAGTCATTCATAGACACAACAATAACACCTTGATACTTTGGAGTGTTTTCTGTTATTCGTCCTAAACCAGATTTCAGTACATGATGACCATATAAAAATTGTTGTTCTGCAGAAGGCTTCAGCCAAATTTTATACTGAAAATGAAATAAAATTATGCAATGTTATAGTTTCTACATGGATTACACTAATCTGTACTTCATATCATGATTTTGCATTCTACCCATTCTACATCAATGAGAGCTTCAGCAATGCTACATGTATTTATAAAATAATGATATGATGAATATTTCACACAAAGAACATGCATGCATGCACCCACCTCCAACACAAAAAATAATAAAAAAGGCTGCAAAGAAAACAAGTACTGTGTGTAACTGAAAGGAAACCCTGTAACAAAGGTAAAGCTGTCTCTATGCTCAATAAAGTATCATACCATAAAGACACAAAGGACTGATGGTAGAGCTCCATACGTTCAATGCTGGCACTAGATGGAGGCAAGTGCTCAACTTTGCATCCTGATCAATTTACTCTCGGTGAAAAGAGTCCTCAGTACCCATAAAATAGGAGATGAGGTGAAGCCCATTGCCAGTCTGGACATTGTGGAAGAAAATCATATTTCATACTAGGTTTGGCAGTGCCAAAATACACCAAAATTGCGTTTGGTATGCAAAAAAAAAAATTTTGTGCCATGTTGCCAATGTAACAGACCGAATGATAATTGGATGGCTGAATTAAAACGATGATCATGGAAACAGCCCCACCACACCACGCTTCTGAAAGATATTTTTTTCTTTCCATGCAACTGGTGTTTCTTGGCTGATTTTAGGTTCTCACAGTAGTGACTGACTTACTTCTTACCTCAAACAAGAAACTGTTGATGTTACTGTACTTTGTTTCTTTTACCTGTGCATAAGGGGCTAAATATGTAAGTGCTGTAATGTGGAGTCTGAACTTTCCGGTCTTCGTGAACTTTCCAAAACACGTGCCTACGGTGATCAACTTGTCTGGTGGAACATTAGTTGAAAGAAGTAATATTTTCTCAGAAACGTAGTACACTCTATTTTTGTTCTCCCTGAAGCAATATGTGCCATCCGGTCGATCAATCAAAAGCTTAACATTCGCTCCTATACTGCAAAGAAACAAAAAAAAAAAATTAACCTCAACCTCGTAACGAAAGATAACTTGTGTCATATTTTAACTGGAAAGGTATTTGTTCATACTATTTTGAAAGTTTTTCGAAAAGCAACTTCGTTCTTTCGTTCGATAAGCGTTTCATCACAGTATGTAAACTGAACTACACAAACACGTATTTAAAAAACGATATGCATTCACACCACTCTTACAGCACATATCACCAAGGTACCAACAGCACCAACCACATAGACGTTGAACTGAGAGGATCGATGTTATTAGCGTTATTAATATATACTGTGTGCTTTTACCACGTGCCAGTTGCTTGTTTTTAATTGATATTTTTCTTTTAGGGCAGTAACACATTTAAAAAGAAAAAATGCCACCTATTCAGTCAAAACTTGGTAACAAAACATTGCACAGCCAGACCCGAGAGCCCGAGAGGTTGTAAATAACGTCCATTCCTTTATGAATGGGGAAGCGGCTGCAGGTCATGTATTGATACGTACGTACGTACAAGAGAGAGTAGTAAGGTCAATCGAAGTTTCAGAAAGAAGTTTACGGAGAAATCTGAATGTTCTTGATGTGAAAAAGCAGTCGCTATAAATGATATCATTTAACTCATTCCTCTCCAGATGGTTTTGAGCGAAGTGATGTTATACTCAGTTCGAAAACAGAAAACACAACGGAGTAAGAACCTCTGCAGTACAAGATATCAGGTTGCAACATTATTTATTGAGAGAAAGTTTCCCACCAGTGCCTGTAAAATATGAACATTTAATTTACATCAATTATTATTTCTAGCTATACGTGTGAACCAGTGATTTTTTGGGAGGGAGCAGTAAAAAAATGCTGGTGGTATGATAGCATATTTTCTTACCGACAGGGCAGGTGGTATGATAGCATACCTTCTTACCGACCGACTCCTCGGCGCTGGCGGCAGCCTTTTTTTTATCAAAGGAGTCGCAGCTGGCCACCGCGGCAGCAGTGTTGCTTCATGACGTCACGGCGGTTAAGTCGCCCGCCAATAGCATTGAGTTGCATCACCCTGTTCATGACGCTAGTGCGGCCATTTTGTGCAAGAGTGAGTGTTTCTCGGATGTTTAAAGATAGCCGTCAATGAAAAGCGAAGTTACGTATTAGTTGGTGTTAGTAGTTTGAATATTTTGTCGCAGTCTAACAGAAAGAATAATGGCAGAAGAAAACGTTAAAAAATTTCACCTTGAAGGGGAATGTGAATTGAGATTTGAAGTGGAAAGTGAAAATGAAGTGACTTTAGTGGTGAGTTTTATTATGTTAAACTAACCTCAGTCGTTGGAAATATATCCATTTATTACCCATAATTTTGTCCATTTCTCATTGTATACTCAGACTCATATACCCTTATTTCCATAGATCCATACAAAATACAAGGATGTGGAAATTGTCATAACCAGTATGGGAAAAAACTACATTCGTACATATAATCAAGTTACACGACACAATATCACTGCATTTATGGGCTCAAAATCAATACTAAGAACCTAATATTAAAAACTATATATATGATTCATTACTCATTACAAGGAAATTATATCTTCATTTTTATCATATTCAAAATCAAGTATTTATTAATTTATTTATTTCGTCTCTATAGATCATTGTTACATGATGGACAAGCCGGTTGCTGTACATTGGCTGATTACAATAAGAGAATAAAGTTACAATACTTAATATTGTTTACAGTAGATTACAATAGTTAAGATTTCACAAAGTGTGAGCTGGAATCCATATTAGGTCCCCTTGGCTTGTCGGCTTTCATATGTCCTATTGTACCTCTACGAGTGATAATGCTTATGTTGAATTTGATGGAATTCTTTAATTGTGTAAAATGAATTGCAACCCAAAGAATTCTTCGAAGCCAATTTAAAATCTTTACAATTATTGTATAATTCCTTTAAGTATAAAGGAAGATTATTAAACACCTTGATATCCATATAGTAAGTTCCCTTCTGATAAGAGTGATAGCTGAGATGAGGGTTGATAAAGATTAAGATTCTAAACCTGTCTGGTATTTCTGTTATGTATAACTGATATGAATTGGTATGAATCCATGTTATCAATCACAAAACACAATAAAGAATGAATATACTAAAATTGAAGAGGGAGAATTCTTAATGTTTTAAATAACTGTCTACAAGAGTTTCTATTACTAATACATGACATTATAAGTGCTCTCTTCTGCACACAAAAAATATTAATAGCATATCGAGAATTTCCCCAGGAAATAATACCATAATGCATATTAGAATGAAAAAAAGCATAATAGCCCATCAACAGTGTTTCCTGATTCATATATGGCTTAATAGTTCTAATCGCATAACAAGCTGCTTATGGTAAACATTCATTATTAATACTGTTTTTCCTCCCTGTTTCAATGTTGATAATGTTCCAAGTAGTTTTATCTTGTTTTCTGCTGAAGTAATTAACTGATAATAATATTTCCTTTTAGCTTCTTTATTACTCTTCTTAATATCATGCAGTAGGCTCTATAGAACGATTTAAATAAATAGTCGTAATTGTTTCTGCTGAGAATGTACAAAGATGCCATATGTCTACAGGAGGTACGTATTCCAGCCGTTATCATCGTGTTTGTTTAATCTTGACTCATAGACAAATAAATACTTATTTAATAAGGAATAAAATATTTCATTTACATCATTAAGTTTAAATATATTTTCCCACTTTTCATTATATATTTTATTAAGAAATTGTGCAATTAAACCTTGTTTACGAATGTCGTTTTGATTCCCTGCACTTTTTTCTTCTGCAGGTTATCAATATTTCTCAGTACAAGACATTGTGTGTCGCGATCAGATAGTCCATTACTAATAGAGAAGACATCGTATGAATTTACCCTTGCATTACCAATTTCAGAGCTCTTAGTCTCCGTTATTCTAGTTGGGAACTTTACTGGATGAAATATATGATTGCAAGATAACTAGTGTCTGTGTGTTACGAGTTGTCTCTTTTTAAAATTTACATTAAAATCACCACATATTGTAAAACCAATTTTAGGTTTTGTAGAGTGATTAAATACTTATCCAACTTATTTACAAAGTACTGAAAATTCCCACAAGATGCCCTCTATATATACACATTATTGATGTTAGTTTTAGCTATCAAAATCTTAAGCATACAGATTTCTATCTGTTTTTCGTCAGAGAGTTGTGCTCAATTAATAGCAGTACATTTTATATCTCATCTTATATATATAAACACCTTGTCCTTGATGAATCCTATGGGCATACTTTTTTCCCAATACATAATTCTGGAAACTGCTGCATGATAATTTCTGATCCAACACATGATGCTCAGTTAAGCTTATTAAGTGTGGATTTTTGTTATTACTTTCTATTGAACACTTGAATTCATCAATTTTGCCACCAAGACCTCTGATATTTTGATGTATAAGAATTAAAGAGCCTTCAGTATAATTAGACTTACTGAAGAATAACTTGTTTGATTTTTATTTTTTCCCATAAAAATCCTCATTTCTAGTAGGGGGTCATCTTTTCCTTCTATTACAATGTTCTCTCCCTTGATCAAGGATTGTGACAAGGTTATCCCTATTTGTTATAATTTCTTCACTTTTTTGATCCTTTTCATCGTACTTGCATGTGTTGCCGCTTTGAATTGTTTTGGTAGAAGTTTTTACCTCTGTAGATTGTTTAATATGTTCCTGTAAAGTATTTTTCCATGTCAGGGGAATAATAGAATTTTTTGCCTGCAACGCCGTTATTTCTTGTACTACAGTTGATGTCTTCTTTTCCATTACTTTTTCCCTTTCCCATTAAGATGCCATCCGTGTCTTGTGTAGTATTCTCTTTTCATCTCTGCATTCACCAGTTACTTGATTTAAATTTTTTACCACATTAATTAAACTTCTGTTAAAACTTCCTCACCACTTCATGTACACATGAGTTATAGTCCAAATCAATTCTATGGGGAAGAGTAGTTACCATCTTATTAGTCTGTTGATTGTTTCTTAGGTAATTAATTTCTTGAATAAGTCCCTTCCTAGAGTTACTTTTTGATGTGTCATTTGTTCCTCCCCATTGGGCAAGGATGTCTTTCTGCGTTAATTTATTCACTTCTTGTATGTGAGTACCCACCAATTGTATTGCAGTTGCATTTGGTTTCACAGTTCCCAGTACGTCACCACAAGTATCACCCAAGTTATGTTTCAGTTCACTTGAAGGTGCTTTTAAGTGATTGTCACCAATAAGTAGAATTTAAGATTTCCTGTTCGTTTTATAATATTGTTTCATCCAGCATTTCCACTGGTCAATTCATATGAACAAATATTTGGAGAATTATTCTTGGGTATTTGTGGGGGGTGTGTTTATGTGTTATTTTATCTTCTAGTATGTTCTTCGAGGTTATAATCATTGGTATACTACGTAACTTCTTCCCTGGTGTTTGTAAGGGCTTCAGAGTGACTTTTCTCGAATACTCATCCGTTCTGTATATGCTGGATATTTTTTGGGGTTGTTAGGCCTTCTTCCATGTTTATAGTAACTTTATAACATTTGTCATACCCATGGACGAACAGCCATTATGTAAAATCCCTGCGATTCTCTCCTGTCCAGTTCTGCTTCTGTTTCTAGTTGGACTTCATCAAACCCATTTAGATTATTCAGAGCAGTATTTTGTTAAATTTGGTCTGGGTTATTACACAAACACTTCTTGCCTTTTAGCTTTTCGTTAATGTGCTGAACACACAACCTGTCATGTATATTTACTTCTGAACTTAATAATTCGATTTGTAGTTGCATTGATTTCAATTTGTCCAATGTTTATTGACACTTAGCCTTTAATATATCACAATTTTCACAGTAACCGTTTTCATTTCCCCTCAGTTGTTCGGTTCAAACACAGGGACCTATATTTGCTAGAAGCTTAGTACATTCTGGGACTGAGGATATTTGAGAACAGGGTTTTGAGGAGAATATTTGGGCCAAGGAGAGATGAAGTGCCAGGAGGTTGGAGAAAACTGCATAATGAGGAGCTTCATAAGTTGTACTCGTCTCAAATTATAATTAGAGTGATCAAGTCAATGCGGATGACGTATGTAGGGCATGTAGCATGAATAGGGGAGAAGAAGAAAGCATATAGGACATTGGTGGGAAAGACAAAAGGAAGGAGACCACTGGGAAGACCAAGGCGTAGGTGGGTGGACAATATTAAAATGGATCTTAGAGTGATAGGATGGGATGGTATGGATTGGATTAATCTGGCTGAGGACAGGGAACAGTGGAGGGCTCTTCTGAATGCGGTAATGAACCTTCGGGTTCAATAAAATGCTTGGAAGTTCTTTAGTAGCTGCAGATTTAGCTTCTCCTCAAGAAAGGTTCACGTCAGATCCATAAGTAAGTAAGTAATACATATTGGTAGTTACTATGTATGTTAAAGTTCACAGTGTCCCGTGCATTTGGGTGAGGTGGTGTTGGATTGATGCAAATGAAATGTTATGACTTTACAGACTCTAGTAAGAAGCTTTCTCCCAATAAATTATTTTGCAGCTGTCATGTTTTGTGCACTCATAGTGTTTTTTCTTTGATCTCTATCTTGCTCTCCTTTTTTTTCTTTTTCTGCTGGGTTAAGTATCAGTTCACTCATATCCCTTTGAAAGCACAAACTGTTAGAATTGCAAAATTATTTATTGCTATTATTGTGAACAAGTGTTCAAGGGTTAACGGAGTAAGATGCAAAAGATGGTGGTATGATAGCATGCCGTTTTACCGATCTTTCTCTCGGAGGTGGTGGCCGTTTCGTAGTTAGTGAAAGTGTGCATACAGATGGCAGGGGAATGACGTTCATGACATTAGTGCGGCCATTTTGTGCAAGAGTAACTGAGTGTTTGTCGGAGGGATAGCATAGCAGCCAAGAACTAGAGAATTTACGTATTGGATGGTTTTTAGAGTTGTACCAAAATCAAATAATTCTTTAATTGTGTAAAATGAATGGCAACCCAAAGAATTCTTCGAAGCCAATTTAAAATCTTTACAACTATTGTATAATTCCTTTAAGTATAAAGGAAGATTATTAAACACCTTGATATCCATATAGCAAGTTCCCTTCTGATATAGTGATAGATGAGTTGAGGGTTGCTAAAGATTAAGATTGTAACCCTGTCTGGTATTTCTGTTATGTATAACTGTTATAAATTGGTATGGATCCATTTTATCAACAACAAAACATAATAAAGAATAAATATACTGAGATTGAAGAGGGAGAATTCTTAATGTTTTAAATAACTGTCTGCAAGAGTTTTTGTTACTAATACCTGACATTATTGTAAGTGCCCTCTTCTGCACACAAAAAATATTAATAGCGTATGAAGAATTTCCCCCCAAAATAATACCAAAATGCGTAATAGAATGGAAATAAGCGTAATAGACCATCAACAGTGTTTCCTGGTTCACATATGGCTTAACAGTTCTAATCGCATAACATGCATTATTAAGTTTTTGGGAGAAGTTTACCAACTTGTCTCTTCCATGATAGTGTGTTTACGATATTGAGTCCTAAAAACTTATATAGCATGTCTCAGAAATTTTCTTTTTGCCATATGCAATATTAATATAATTGTCTTGTTCATAGGAATTTCTGTTGTGAATTTAATATAATCTGTTTTGGAAAAGTTGAAAGATAATAAATTGTCATTATACCTTGTATTTAAAATTTTCAAAAATTCAATTAATCTGTCTTGGAAAACCAAGGGATCAAATTCACTAATAATTACACGTGTGTCATCAGCATAAAGCATACGAGTAGAAATCTTATTTAGTACTAAAGAGAAAGACCATTAATATAAATCAAGAAAGGCGAAGGCCCAAAAATGGAACCTTGGGGGAATCCATGTGAAATTTCTCCCAAATTTGAATATGTGTTAAAATTATAATATTTGGATTGTTATGTTATTCTTTGAACTCTTCTTTCCAAGTACGATGTTATTAATTTGTGCATTAAGCCCAAAATACCATAAAACCACAGGTTAATGGTGAAGTAATGTAATGTACACTATTTTTCAAAATTTTGACGGATATCTCATCATATCTGTAAGAACTTGTCATTTTTAATTTATTGATAATATTTACAATTTCATCAGTTGTGACCGAACTTTATGTAATGGTAGGAAAAGTAACTTAAAATGTCATAAATATTCACTAGAAGTTTTACTTTTATCAGTTAAATTACAATTGTTTTGTATATTATTGATAATTGTATCTGCTAGAGACAGAAGGTATTTATTGAAAGATCTGGAAATGCTTTTTGGATTAGTATATACGAAGGGTGCTCCATAAATAATGCCTCCTATTTTTTTGTGTTAATCTGTAATGTCTGAGCTGGATGTTGGTGGTGTTGTAGTAAAGGTTGAACCTTCCCGTCAGTGTACTGTTAGTTTGGTTGTCGTGCGACAGCGACAGCAGAGTAGTCTACCGAAATGGTGTCTGACATAGAAGCGGGTACGAAACAGAGATGTGTTATTGAATTTCTCACAGCCAAACAAATTGCACCCATTGACATCCATTGATGCTTGCTAAAGGTGTACAGAGACGATACATTGGATGTGAGCACAGTGAGGCAGTGGGTAGTGCATTTCAACTGTGGCGAAATTGAAGTGCACAACAAGCAATGCCCTGGGCATCCCCGCTCAGCTGCCATCCTCACAATGAACAGCGTCTCGATCAGCTCTTTCATACAGATCGGCAGATAATGACCAGGGAACTGTGCGCATGGCTGAATATCGGCTGTAATGCATGGGAAACAATGTTGGGGAAGCTAGATTATTGCAAAGTTTGTTCCAGGTGGGTCCCGCGGATGCTTACACAGGACGACAAAACTCGTCGAATGGAAGTCTGTCAGGACCTGTTGCACCAGTTCGAGGCTGAAGGTGACAAGTTTCTGGACAGCATCGTAACTGGAGGTGAGATGTGGTGTCACCACTAGGAGCCGGAGTCCAAAAGACAGTCCGTGGAGTGGCGACATCCGGATTCCCCAAGAAAAGGAAGTTCAAGACACAGCCATTGGCAGCGAAAGTGATGAGCATGGTCTTTTGGGATAGGTGGGGTGTGATTGTGTTGGATTTCCTGGAGCCTGGCGAGACTGTCATTTCTGAATGCTACAAGACACTGATTAAGCTGAAACCCTACATTTCCCAAGTCAGGCCAGAGAAGCAGACAACCTTTCGCTTGCAACACGATAACACTATACCCCATACCAGTTTGGCTGGACTGTCCTACCCCATCTACCTTATAGCCCCGATTTAGCACCTTCAGACTTCCATTTTTTTGGGCCTATGAAAGATGGACTACGTGGGCAACATTTTCCAGACAACAATGCTGTCATTGCAGCTGTAAGAAAGTGACTTGCCTCTGCTGGCGCCAACATTTACAAGTGCTACATACAGGCGCTTGTTCATCACTGGCAAAAGTGCATGACAAATGGTGGTGATTATGTGGAAAAGTAACTGTAAATAGCTGAAATCTTGCTCTATTTAACTGTGTTGCTATGCTTTCTGTATCTTTTGTAGTTTTCATTAAAAAAATACGAAGCATTATATACGGAATGCTCCTCATATTCTATCAAAAGTAATCAAAGTAGGTAAGTTAGCATAATGTAACTTTGTACTCGTCAGCACGTTAACAATATTCCATGTACTTGTAATTCTATTATTTGAATTTATGGCCTCTCCATAGCTCAAGCATTTAGTCGCTGGCTTCCCACTGCAGCAACCCGGGTTTGATCCCGGGTCTGGTCAAGTGGGATTTGTGGGCGACAAAGTAGTGCTGGTGCGCGTTTTCTCCGAGTACCTCGGTTTCCCCTGCCAATCTTTATTCCACCAAATTCTCCATCATCAAAATCACCTGGGGCAGGTACAATAGGCTGCCAATCAGTGGCTGCTGTGCTGAGTGGACCCAGCTGGACTCCACCCCCCCGCTAAGCAAATCATTGGATTTTAAGATCTGTTTATCATTATAAAGACTCTTAGTTTTTATAATATCTCCAGCTAAAGAATTACAATATGTCTTATGATAACTTTTAATATTAGGATCATTGCTATTCCTACTTAGTAAATACAAATGTCTCTTAATATTCCATTTGATTTTTATACTAGGTGAGATCCACGTTTTGTTCTTTGTAATATGCAACTTAACAGATGATTTAGGAAAACTAGCATAAACATATCGTAAAAATATATTTAAAAAGGAATTAAACACAATGTTCACTTCATTCTCTTCAGAAACCTCTTTCCATATCTGATAATTAAGTTTGTAATTGAAATCAGCTAATGAACATTTATTGGTTTTCCTTGTTTTCCAATAACATTTGGGAAGGAAAGGTAATGTAATGTCATGGATGAAAATGAGTTGAGCATCAAGATCAGCTATACCATTTGGTATAGGAGTAACTTTAAAAGTCCCTAATCTCGAATAATCAATAACTATATTATCTCTAGCAGATTTGGATGTATTCTGTATTCCAGTAGCAAAGTCTACAATGCAGAAAAGATTATAAGAATTTAACGAGGAATTAAATTGACTTTTCCTACAATTATCACTAAGATAATCTATATTAAAATTGCCACATATGATAAACTCTATTTTTGAGTTGTATAATGATCTTAATATCTTGGCCATTTTATGCATAAAATAAGTAAAATTACCAGAAGGGGCTCTATAAACTGCAAGTATATAAATATGTGATGAGTTGGATTGAATTTTGATTGAGCACAGTTCACCTGTCAGAATCAGAGCAATCTGTTTCGGTATTTAATGTAACATAATTTAAATGGTTAAGTAAAATGAATCATGTTCCACCTTTAGATGCAGTTCTTCTACAAAAGTTGGCACCCAATTTATAATTTTCAATAACAATAATACTCAAATCTGTGCAACTTAAATGGTGCTCACTTATGGAAATGATATATGGAAAATCTGGATGTAGAAAGCTTAATAATTAGTTTATCTTATATCTCAAGCCAGAAATATTCTGATGATATATTTTCAGAGAATGATGTACGATAGGTACGATAATAGGTGATTTACTACCTTTATTTAATTCTGTAGAATGTACTGCACTTGAAGTACCTTTGTTATAGCATGTAGTAGTTAAGTTTAAATTTCCCATAAAAATCATTTGTATGTAATTATTGTTTAATTCTCTGCTTTCAGTTAAAGAGCGGAATGGCAGGGGTATTTGGTACAGAACTTGTGAAAGGAATTCGATATGTATTCACAACGGGATCAAAGATAGCTGTATTTACATGGCAAGGATGTGTTATTGAATTGAGAGGGAAGATGGATATTTGTTACATTGCGAAGGACACACCCATGGTAAGTGACACGTGTGGCATGTATCTTTATTTTCATTTCCACATATCCTTACTGGCTACCAACGTCATTGGATATAGAACATGTCACAATTTACATACATTAATTCTGAAAACTTACAGCCACATTCATGAAAGGAACTATGATTATACAATTCAATAATTTAACCAACATGTACACTTCATTAACTGGACATTAATACCTTATTAAGTTCGTTTCCCAAAATAGATACAGGGTGTCCCAGGAGGAATGTGCCAGACTTTGGGAGGGTGTTCCTTATGTTAAAGTATGCCGATATAACCCAAAACACCTATGTCCAGGGTTGAACTGTTACGGAGATAATGGCCCGAGAAAAGTATGGTCTTCTGGCGGGTCCACTCACTGTACCTGTCAGCTGACAAGTCTTATCTGTTTGTCCTTGAGTGTGGTGATTCACACTAGCTGTAAGCTAATGTGCTACCTTCATGGTACATTGCGGCCGCGTTGTGAATGGTTGGTAAATTAGTTGTGCGGAGTTGCTGAAATACCTTTTGTGTTTTCACAAGTGTAATATTGTGATATGCATTTTGTGTATGGATTTTGCGGTGGCAATGCATGTGCTGCTGTTGAAGAATACCAAAGGCGTTTTCCCGATCGAAGGATTCCATCTCAAAGTGAATTTACGCGAATTCACCAGACATTGCGTGATACTGGTTCTCTTCTGAGTGTTTGTATGCACTCTGAAAGGGAGGATGTACGAATGAGAAACACACGAGAGAACATTCTTGAGATGCCTCAGAGAAGTCCCGCGTCTGTCCACTCGTAGAATGGCCTCTCGCATCGGTGTATCACGTATGCAGGTGTGGCAAACTTTGCATCATGAAGAGTTGTGTCCTTACCATGATCAAAGGGTACAACATCTGGAACCAGGCAACCATTCTCAGTGTATGGGTTTCTGCCACTGGATAAAAGCTCATCCCGAACTGTTAAGCGTCATTTTATTCAGTGATGAAGCGTCTTTTACCCGAGACAGTGTAAATGATTTATGAAATGTGCATACGTGGTCCCATAATAATCCACATGAGATAATGGTAACGAAATTCCAAAAGAGATTTTCTGTGAATGTATGGTGTGGTGTGCTTGGGAACGGGTTGACCGGACCTTTAGTGTTTCACGACAATTTAGTAGTTATGTAGTTGGCTTATGGCAGAATGCGCCGTTAGCCATGTTACGTCAGCACTTGCCAGTCATGTGTCATGTATAGTGCTTGGAAACCTAAGGACAACTATGACATGGCGTGCGAGTTCTTTTGCAGTTCAATTTAATGGCTTCATGTCACTCACAAGTTAGTTTGATGTTACATACATTATTAACATTACAGAAACCACATATTCCTGCCAGTTTTAATATGTATTTGTTAATGAACAAGTGTGTAACACCTGTCAAAGCTTCGCACTTCTCTGGCCATTATCTCTGTAACCATTCAACTTTGGACATAGGTGTTTTGGGTTATATCGGCATACTTTAACATAAGAAACACCCTCCCGAAGTCTGGCACATTCCTCCTGGGACACCCTGTATATGAATATCAATTGAAAGTCTTTTATACAATATACCATATAAACAGCATTACAGAAAGTTTAGTTCAACTTGTATTTAAAATAATCATCCGACATATAAAATGGATGGGAATACAGGAAAATTTTCAAGGCCAATTTAAATTGTTTTATAATATGGGAAAGATCTTTTATTGGAACAGATAAGCTGTTAAAATACCTTAATCCCAGCACAATAATACATACACAAAAATTTCTTGCTGCAATTCTGTTTCTTACTTTCTTTTCACACTTTCTTCTTCCCAGGTTATGTATCTCAATGTACATGAAGCACTGGAACTTCTAAGAAGAAAGGCAGAATTAGCCAATGGCCGAGGGCCTGTAACAATGATTGTGGGTCAGTTGGATGTTGGTAAATCAACTTTATGTAGGTTGCTTCTGAATTATGCAGTTCGAATGAGCCGAAGGCCAATATTTGTTGATCTGGATGTTGGACAGGGTCAAATTTCAATCCCTGGGACAATTGGTAAGGATAAGTTTTTATTATTTACATGTGTGCAGCTTCATGCTGTAAAAATGATCAGTGTGAAATATTTATGTAGTAAGGAACATATCACTGAATATAGAAATGCAGCCTTAACAGAATTTAACTACTGAAGTATTCTAGTTATAAAAATGAAAGAATATCTTTCAGCTCTTCATGTTGTAATTGTTTTATATTAAAAGGGCACTCACAGGCATTATTAATGATATAAAACAGAGCTGTCCAACTTGAAACCGTTATGTAACTACAACTCTTTAATGAACCATCACAACACAGCAATTAGTAAAACATCAAAGTCAGCGTTCAGCTGTGGCTTTGCAACATGTTTCAGCCACTAATGGCCATCATCAGGCAAATACATATCAACAAAAATCTACCATTTAACTGCAATCATAAAATGGATATAACACTATTAATCGTACAAATTTAAAAATGCTTATGTAAAAGATACAAAAGTTCAGATTATATAAAAAAAAATAAAAATTGAAAGTACAGTAGAACTTGGTTATAACGTCATCAAAGGGACCTAAAAATAGTGTCGTTATAAACGAATGTCGTTGTAACCGAAATGGGCACTTCCACAGTAGCCTTATGTTAGTCACATAAAAATCTACCAAAAACCGAGTTAAAATGTTGCATTTTTTTTAGTGAAATACGTAGTTAAGTACAGACTGACGTAACATTAACGTGGAATTGCCCAAATGTGTAATATCAAAGACATATTACAGCGCTTTTCACTGACAATACACACCGCACTAATACTGTATATTAAAGGTAGGCCTACTCACCAAATTACAGTAGATTACATCAATTGTTGTGCCTTACTGTACCTAGATACGAGTACAGTAATCAGTTATCTTCATCTGTTTCCTGTTACTTGCCCAATACACACTTTCTAAATTACGTTCAATGTCCATATCAGAGAAATTCAGGAATGAAAATGACGTTACATACGAGGTTGATGCATTTGTGCATGTCGTACTAAGCAAGGTATAAAAACAGTTGCTTTATGAGGAATTAGTTCGTACCATTGAATATTTGACGCAATAGACAAGGTGTCGCAGAAACCGATGTTGCTATAACCAAGTTTTACTGTATTATATAACAAGATACATATTAATGATGTTTTCAAAACATCAAATCAGTCGTTGGATTTACTTTGTGTGCGTTTCCATAGACAATTTGGAAATTCGATATTACTTTATATAGAAGATTTTAAGAGAGGCCCATTGTGTTGCAGTTAATAAATTGTGTAATGGTGCCTCATCTTACGAAGAATTGTCCGTATTTCATGGAAAGCAAACAACTACTGTATCTATGCACTCAGCTTCTAACAGAAATGAGTACCAGGAATATTCTTGGGGGTAAAGGGTGGCCAGCGTGTAGGGCTGACAACCTTGCCGCCATTTATGAGCCGATTGTCTAGAAAATGTGGGAACCTCAACATCTCACAACCCTATGGGCCTCCATGGCCTGTTACAGGGATACCTTTACTTTACTTACTTTACTGTATCTGTGCACTTCTGCTGTCCAGCTACATACAGCAAATGATTTGAAAAATCCCCTGTGGGACATGATGTGGGAGCCACCCACACGGTCTTCACTCTAATACTATATACACTATTATAATAAAATACTTGAATTTGGAAATATTTATAAATGTAAGTAAAAATTTTTCTTCTGTTAAATTATGGAAACAAAATCAAAATATAAAAGATTGTTTTGTCTGATACTCGTAAGGTGAGTATAATTCTCATGTAGTGATTGGCATGTTGATCATTTGCATGTGCAGTGATTGTTCTATTCACTCGCCTACTATTTGAGACCTTGTTGTTATTTATAATTTCTTTTCTAGTATCCATCTCCAATTCAGACCTACAGTACTCACTCGGTTCCAGCATTTAATCACACATTTATGGTAAGTGTGTACATCTGTTCCTTCATTACTTGTGAACAGTTGTATGGATATCTTAGTTTTAATGTGCAAGACTTAACTAAGGTAAGGTAAATGTGAAGCTATCCCTGTAACAGGCTGTGGAGGCCCATAGGGTTGTGAGATGTTGAGGCTCCCACATTTTCTAGACAGACAGCTCGCGGATGACAGTGTGGTTGTCAGCCCTTCATGCCAGCCTGAGGACAATAAATCCCTAAAAAGGTTTTATATAAATATAAGCAAGTCTTGAATTTCTGAGATGGATCAAGAAAGAAAACTATCTTGATTTGAACGCTGATTTTTTGTTGTGAAATTTGATAATTTTCATATATAAGTGCTTTTACTTTGTACATTAGTGTTTGAACTAACTGAACAGTTAGCATCATAATGGTTGATAGCACTGTAATATATGAACTTGTTGACAGTATCTATTTCTGCTCATGGTGAAAAAGAGGATGGCCAGTTTTTTTAATTGAAAGATGCATGAACATTTTCCATTGAAAAGAAATGTTATTTCAAAAGATAAAGAGTACACTTCAGTGTATTGTGAAAACAATTATTAGTGTTATGAATTTTATTATTATTTATTTAAACTGCAATGGCTTTTTGCCCCTTTGCAGTGGTACTACAGTAAGACACAACACACAAATGATACACATAACACCAAAGGACACACTAGCACACAGTGAATACAATGAAAATACACTTACAACTATAACAAATACAATTATATAAATTAGTATTAACAAGAGAACACGTATACCATACACTAAACAGTAATAGTACTCGAATGTGCCCACATTTCACCGAGACTTACCTTTTATCCCACTTCACTTTACTTCACTGCCTTTTCAGATGATTTCTGCTATATCTTCACTTCACCTTGTTTATTGTTTTCCTAGCCCTTTTCCTAATATTACTTGATTTACAGGAGAGAGTCCCTAAAGCATCTGCAGGTAGGTGGTTCCAAGACTCGATGGTCCTATTTACAAAGGATTATTTTCCAATATCTGTCTTTTGCTTTCTGCTCCTCATTATCCTGTCACGAGCGACCCTCCTCAGATTGCATGGCCTTTGTAATTATAATGAAAAAAAAAATGCTGGTTTTATAGTGAAAATCTTTATTCTCTACTAGGTGAACGGCATTTCTTATAAATTCCTGTCTCAGTACCACCTTCAACTAAAAAGGCTGTTCTTGAACATGCCTAGTTTTAATAGCTTGAAGTTCAGGTCCATTATATTGCAGATTGTATATTCCAGTTTGCAGTATGTTATGGCCTGTAGCTTGCAAGTGTGCACAATTACACCTGATATCCTAGAAGCCTGTGATTGATTTTTTACAAAGATCTGAATAACTGCTAATGGCTACATGGGTAATGAAACAGTATTGACATATTATTGAACATATTGCTAGCAAATGGTACTGTCTGCAGCTTCGTAAACATTATATCGGAGTAATTGCCAAAATCACTCTTCTGGAGGTTTCAGCATGTTACAGACACTAATTCAGGAAATTTATGTTTCTGAGGTTTCCAGAGTTAAGGGTTAATATCCTTCAATTAATTTTGAAGGTTGGATTTTTAGTAGACACACGTGGAAGGTGAATTAATATGTTCTTACGAAGAATAGTGGGATTAGTGAAATTGATGGTTGGGATTGGTTTGAAGTTGGTAAGTTTCTTTTTCTTCAACAGGTGCACTTCTGGTACAGAGACCTGCTGCTGTTGAAGAAGGTTTCTCTCAGCAGGCTCCTCAACTAGTTTATCATTTTGGACATGAGTCACCAAGCACGAACCTTGCTCTTTATAACATGTTGGTGTCACGACTAGCTGAAGTAATTTCAAAAAGAATGCAGGCCAATAGGAGAGGTAAGCTAATGAAAGAAGGCAGAATGCCGGTTGTCCTGATACTGCTGCTTCTGTGTGCTTAGCTGGCACACTCATGACAATGTAGTTTGGTATTCTGCGTAAATCATATGTTCTTTGTGCAGAGTGCATGAAGTAAAGCACAATGGGTAGGTAGTGCTGATTCACATGTTGCATCTCTGAAACTGCTATACAGATTTTTATGAAATTCAGCATTGGGAAAATTTTATTATCATCTGTTTTTCAGCTCATTATAGCTGTAATCTTACATGAAGTATATCAGAATTCTCAAAACTCTCTCATCACACAAAGAAATGGTACACAGAATAAAATACCTGTTAATCTCATTAAGATCTGTAATATTTATGTGAAATATTTTTTCTGTGTGATTTATGTGTATTGAAATATAGACAAATAATAATTGCTCTGTACAGTGTATTGTCTGCTGTTGATTACCTTTGTAAACACTAGAATTTATAACCATGTGTACATCAAGACTGTTGACAGTTGCCTGCATGGTCTCGGCTGTAATTCTGCAGGTCATATTTTGTTTGTGCAATTTTTTGCCTCCTTTCGTCAGTAGTATCAAAGTTGCTGAAATTTCAGAATTCCTTTAATGCATGAAAATACTGCGAGGTGCTATATCACGTCCATTGATATGCAGTGGCTGCAGTGGGAATGCAACGAATTGTTTGAAGCAGCGGGAATAATGCATTCGCATGGTAACAAGCATAGAACATGTGAAATCGAGCCCTTTGAGAAGGTGCTCTCTATTCGTCCAAGACCAGGTTATAAAAGTCCAGCTTTCAAGAGAACAGACAGTTTTTGACAGTTGAAGTCAGTTGAATTGAGTTGCCAGTTTGTATTTGACTCCAGCAAGAAGAGTTCTTCAACAAGGGACCAAGGCACTTGACCAAGGATAGCGGTGCAAGTAATTATAACAGTGAAGAAGAAACGTCCACAAGTGTTATAAGTGATAATAATTGTACTTGCTAGTGTAAAAAAGTGAGTCCAATAAAAACAAAAAAGAAAGTTGTGTGCTTAATATTCATATTTGTGTAGTTGTAATGTACTGTCACTTGGAGTGACTGTAGGTGGGTTTGGAATTGTAATCAGATTTATTGGACACTTTAACACATAATTCGTGACTTCACTTTACAAATCACTATCTTAACACATAATTCGTGACTTCACTTTACAAATCACTATCTGGGTTCCGAAACTATCCCCAGCCTCAGCAGCCAGCTGCTAGCTTGCAGTTACATACAAATTCCACGTTCAGCAGTGCACAATGTGCTAGACAAGAGGCTCTGCCTAAGATCATACAAGATGCAAATGATTCATGCACCAAATCCGAGTGACCAAGTAGCACGCACAAACTTCGCTGTGGATATGCTAGAAAGAATTGATGTGCTACCCCATTTCCTGCGCCAAGTGTGCATTTTGGACGAAGCAACATTCCATGTCAGTGGAGTTGTAAACAAGTGCAACTGCAGGATTTGGGGAGGTCACATGTCACTTGTGAGCTGAAGAGAGGTCACCCCAAAATGAACATGTGGGCAGGCTTAATGCACGACAAGTTGATTGGACCATTTTTCTTTTCTGAAAAGTCTGTGACTGGACGTTCATACTTGGACGTGCTGGAGCTGTATGTGCTGCACCAGTTACGACCACAAACTAAGTAAAGAAGAAATGCCAAATACGTTTAGAGGCTACTTGAGACCAGGAACCTTAAGGAGGGTCCATTGTGACATGATGACAGAATAGTTCAACAGGAGAAGCCATCTACTGCTAGGTAATTGCTCAGTATACATGCATCATGGTAATTGATACACACACACACAATAGACAAATTGCTATAGAATAAACACAACAGAGGTACCATGGAAATGATGTTTTCTACGCAGTCCATGCAGAGGCTGTATAACTAGGACCATCTGACAGCCGTGAGATGGTAGAAAGCTGGCAACAGAGTGGGCACAGAAGTTGAAAAGGACATTGTTGAGAAATACTACCAAGCAATGACTAGTGAAGACATGGAAGACTGAGAAGACTTAGTGTTTGCAGTAGTGATTTGTTAAGTATGTAGGTTATTCACAGTGTTATTTATTTATCTAGAGGATCCATCCAAGTCTGAGGCTTTGTGTACATTTTCATAATAAGCTTATTTTTTATGGTGAGGAGTTGTTAGACCCACACCCAACCCCCAAGCTGGAGGACCACCCCTTCTTGGCCCTTGCACTGCAACCACAGTGATCTATTTATTCTGCATTGTTTAGTATGTTAGTTTAAACATAGCTGTCTTTTCAGAATTTGTAAGTTTTTAAGGCTGGGTATTTTTGATGAAGTTTATTTTTAACAATTATGTCCTCAAATTTCAATGGTCTTTATGTTAGTAATGAATACCTATAAAGCCAAGAGGATAACATTTTGTAAATATGAATTGATTAGTGAAGAATTTCTGAATTTTGGCCTGGGATATGTTGACTCTAAATAGATTAAATGTTTTATATTTTCTGCAATTAACATTCTTACCATTTTTATTCTAGCAAATGCTTCTGGTGTGATTATCAATACCTGTGGGTGGGTGAAGGGTGACGGATACAAGCAACTCACCCATGTTGCTCAAGCGTTTGAGGTGGACATCATCCTAGTCTTGGATCAGGAACGGCTGTACCATGAGCTTGTGCATGATATGCCAACATCTGTGAAGGTTGTTTTCCTACAAAAGAATAGAGGTGTAAGTAGCTCAGTCTTTTCTGTATGAACTATGTAACTGAAAACCCCTGTCGAGGGAGGTTCAGCACTGCTAATACCCAGTGCAAACTCCAAATTTAAGTAAAAGAAGCACTGTCTAATTTACAGTTTTCATAACTATCGGTTGTACTAACATAATTACTGAACTCATGGTACTGTTAAATTCTTGTGAACCTGGTTTTTTGAGCTAGACTGTAGAAACAGCACTCAAGGTATTTTATATAGGAAGAGGAATAAACTTTCCCAGTGTGAAAAATCATTACCATCATTGAGTTTATTATTTTTAAACTTATTTGGGAAACCTCTCCACTCAAATTGCCTACAAGAATAATTTGCCATTGTTGAGAGATTCAACACATGGGTTGTCAAATGCCAGTTGGTTGTTTTCTATGTCTTATTCTTTGTATTGGAAAGCAAACAATGTAAGAGTTTTTAAACCGAATAATTACAAGCATTTCCTTAATTTATTCTTCCCTAATTTAATGATGAATGCCATTTATATTTTTAGATTTTCAGATTTCATGGCAGTGAAGATCACAGTATGAGTAATTTATATTTGATATTGTTCTTCCAGTGTACTTCAGTGATTCAGTATTGAGGGGGTGGGTTTCCCCATGCACCGCAACTGATAGTCTATTGTACATCCCCCTTTTAATTTCTACCGTCTCCATCCCCTACCGATACTGGTGCTCACTATCAGCCCCTTTCTGCCAGCGAGGTTTCTACCCTCTGCTTAGCAGTGGTATCTAATAGTTAGTCCCTTTCTGTCAGCGAGTTAGTCCCTCCTCTGGCAGTGGTACCTAATACTTTAGCCCCTTTCTGCCAGCAAGGTTTCTACCCTCTACTTGGCAGTGGTATCTAATAATTAGTCCCTTTCTGTCAGCGAGGTCGACCCTCCTCTGGCAGTGGTACCTAATACTTCCCCATCTATCGGAGGCATTGGAAACTATTTGGGCGGGAAACTTTTTGGCCTAATTTAGCTCAGAGGCCTCCTAGAGGCATGAGGTTCTTTCACGTGCCGTAAATCTACAACACGGGACCCACGGCTTAAAGTCCCTCCCGGATGACTTGCTCCCTGAATTTTTCCGCCCTTAAAAATTCCACAACCTCTGCTGGGTTTGAACCCGCGTACCGTGAGTCATGAGGTGGGAACGTTACCCCTAGACTACGGAGGCCGCTTTCCAGTATACTTACTTTTGAATCATTTCCTTTTTTATACATATATCCATATTACTTAAACTGGATCAGTCTTGTGATTTAAATTTAGGGTCATTACCTAGTAATTACTCTATGCGCTACAATATTAAAATGGATTTTAGAGAAATAGGATGGGATGGTATGGATAGTCCTGCAAATTCTAATTTTGAAAGCCAGCCACAGATTGTTCAGCCAGTCCAGAAGAAGAGAGACAGGGTCCTTGGGTCATCTCTTTCTGCATGTGATGGTACTCACAGAGCAATCGAAAAGCCAATCGGCCAACAAAATCATAAACATATCCCTTCCAGATGACAGTAGAAGCCAAACGGTGGATTGTGTTGTTACTCATGCATTCTTTGCTCCTCCATACAGTGTTTACATTCATGTGCTGAAGTTCCTTTTTTGGAAAGAGTGACTATGAAACTTAAACTTTAGACTCTAGATTCCTGTGCACACACCTTAGGGATTTAGAGAGAAATGTGCAAGCCTAGCACTGATTTCATCCATTGTTTTGTTCACTGAGCATGCAAGAATTTTTATTTTTTTTTGTCCAACAATAATGTTGTTTGTTTAAATTTACTTACTATTGTATGAATAGTTGCTTCTATTTGAAACTGTAATAGAAATTTATGTAGCATCTTCTCTTTACTTTTTGTACACAACCGACATTGTTTGGTCCAATGTGCGACTCTCGCTTGGCATTTCAACACAGGATATAACATGACTGACATGACTGGTTACTGCACAGGTCAAAAATAAAGTAGCAGTAGTGATGTGCGACTTGGGGTTTTTGAATGGGCCAGCATATAATGCTTGCATCATGTGAGCTGTTCAGCAGTCTACTGGGGTGGTATTGAAGAGAAGTTGTAATGTGTAAAGGCTGTTTGTTGGCCAAGCCACAAGTCTGAAAGTGCATGAACTGCCACCTGAACAGCCAAACAATTTGCATAAGGCT